CAGAATTTGAGCACTACATACGATTTATTCTCTTTGTAGTTTGTTTGATTTCTTTAGTACTGTTCGTTGTACATTCTTGCACTGTTCGTTGTGCAAAAGGCTATCAATATGGTGGAAATATGTATGAAACGGCGTGACAAATTTTCAAAGCTTACAAAGCTTTAAAAAACGTTATATTCTCGGATGTTCTACTCCAGTATATTTTCGGATCCATGACACACTAATAGCAAACTCACCAAAAATATTTGAATATGCATGATATGAACGTGTATCATATTAAAGCGATGTGACGCATATCACCCTGACCTTCGTATGAGCTTGACCTTTGACCTCAAGATCAAAATACTGGATTTCTAAAAAACTGGATTGCAATCAGGCGCTACCGATGAGTGGGCTTCTCTAGCTCCAGTAAGTTCTGTTTCACGTTAAACAAATAATAATAATAATAATAATAATAATAATAATAATAATAATATCTTTATTTAGAGAGAGTAACTCATTTGGATTACACCAATTTTCAATAAGGCTCTCTTAATACAATAATAATTACATTAAAAATAAACAATACATATTCAATAATAATGATAAATAAAGATGTAATACAATTTAAATACAATAATCAATTATTTTATATGGCATTACAGTACAAATATCATGGTAATGTTAAAAGTACATAGATTTGTAGTTATGTTTAAATTCTAATACTGTGTTTGATTTTTTAATTGAATTAGGAAGAGCATTCCATACTTTTGGTCCATTGTACGAGAAACTAGACTTATACAACTCTGTATTTGGTTTTAGAATTATAAAATTATCTGAGGACGAAAATCTCGTATTGTATTTTTGGTTTGCAGAAGCTGATAAAATAAGACTGGACATATATTCTGGACCTAAGCCATGTTTTGCCTTATACATTAGACTAAGTAATGATTTATGATAATGTATTCATTGTGTAATCGGCACAATGTTACATTCGTGAAATAATTCGCTTGAAGGTTTGGTGTAATCATGTTCGTCTAAATTTATTCTTGCTGCTCTCTTTTGCAGTTTAAGTACACTATCTAATAGAAAGTTATTACAGTTTCCCCATATTGAACAACAATAATCTAAGTGAGGTAAAACGTAAGCGTTATAGAACATTTGTCTAGCTTTGTGATTTAAATATTTCTTTATCCTTTTTAGTAAAGCTAAAGAAGAGTTAACCCTTTTTATGATATAATCAATATGAGAAGACCAGGATAGAGATGCATCAACAAAAATACCTAGAACCTTTTCACATGTACTTTCTTTAATTTGTTGTCCATTCATAGCAATATTAATGTTTTCATTTGATGTAACTGAAAGCTTCTGTTTAGAGCCAATACATATAGCCTTCGTTTTAGATACATTTACAGCCATTTTATTGTCATCACACCAGCGAAAAATATCTTGTAAAACCGTATTAAGTTTATGACTGATACAACTTTTGTTTTGTCCATTGACTGATATGGTGCTATCATCAGCAAATAAATCGGTGTTATGATTAGGATTAGACAAAGGAAGATCATTTATAAAAATTAAAAACAACACAGGTCCTAAAACGGATCCTTGAGGTACACCCGTTTTTTGTTTTTGTAAGTCTGAAAATGTATTTCAAATAGATACCATCTGATATCTGTCAGCCAAATATGATGTAAACCATCGTAGCGAAGTATAAGCAAATTTGTATTTGTTTAATTTTTGAATAAGCAGTTCATGATTAAGAAGATCAAAGGCTTTTGCTAGATCTAGAAACACTGCCCCAACAAGATCGCCATCATCAATGGCTTTAAGCCATTTATCCAATAAAGCTGTTAACGCAGTTTGACAAGAATGGTTTACGCGAAAGCCTGACTGCATTCTATACAATAAGTTGTATTTATTAAGATACTTTACTAAGTGTGTTTTCACATGTTTTTCGAGGATTTTAGAAATGAGTGGTAAAATTATAATTGGTCTGTAATTAAAAACATCCTGTTTTGAACCTTTGTTCTTATAAACTGGTATGACTTTTGCAAGTTTAAATGAAGATGGAAAAATACATTTTTAATACTTAAGTTAAAAATATGACAAAGTGGTAGTGAAATAGCATGAGAAGACATCTTTAAAAACTTTGCACTTATGTTATTAAGACCTGTTGCTTTTGATTCATCTAGTGCTTTTAGTTGTAAACACACAAAATCATTACTCATAAGTGGTATAGAAAAATACACGTTATCTGGTACATGACCCGATATGAAATCATCAAGTTTGTTAAAGGAACTATTGTTGCTGTTTTGATTTATATTAAGATTATCTGTGATATTTGTGAAATAAGCATTAAATACATCAGCAACGCTTTTCGGTTCTAAAATTTCCTTTTTGTTACAATCACTTATGATTTTAATACTGGTATGATTGTCGGTTCCGTTGACAGTATGTAGGTGCTTCCATAATTTACTACTGTTTCCCTTTTTGTGTTCTATGATATTGGTATAATAATTTTGTTTAGAGTTTTCGATGAGATATTTGACTTTGTTTCTCCAGAATCAATAACTATACATATCTTTTTTCTTATGATAAAAATCACGTTTTCTCATGCTATCTAGAATTTCATCATTCATCCACTCATTTTGATACAAACGTTTTACTCTCTTTTTAATTAGTGGAGCATGATGATTTAATACTTCAGTAAAAATATTTAAAAATGACAACAATGCTTCTTCGGGGTCATCAATTTCTAATACACTATCAAATGAAAACTGTGATATGTGATTGATAAAATCATTTTCATTAAAATGTTTAGTAGATCTGAACGTAATATATTCATGAATTTTCTTTTTCGATTTTAACCCTCTTTTGTGAGAAATGCATACTAGATAATGGTCACTGATAGAATACTTTGGAACAGAAAAAAAATGAATATTATCTGGTTCATTACTATAAATATGGTCTACCAAAGTGGAAGATGTTTGTGTGACTCGAGTGGGAACTGAGACTATTTTAGACAAGTTAAAAATGTTTTTCAAATGGGACCATTTAGCTGGAATTTTTCTCGACGCCAAATCAATATTAAAGTCACCCAAAATAATAATTTCCTTATCTTCAATATCAACATTTGTTAACATTGATTCAAATTTTGTAATCCACTCTGCATTACTATTTGGTGGTCTATATATGTTACCAAGTAATATAGGTTTTTGATGAACAAAAATAATTTCCACCCAAATTGATTCCATATCATCCTTTTCCAAATCATATCGTCTGATTGTGGTTAACATGTTAGAAATATAAATTAAAAACCCACCCCCAGATTTTCCAATTCTGTCTTTTCTGTTTGTATCATAACTTTTAATATCTATTTCTTTATTTGGACAGAATTTGACAAAAATGTTTCACTTAAACACAGCACATCTGTGTTAGATTTTGATAGGAAATATTTAATTTCAAACAAATACAAAATTCAGGTTGTTTTAATCTTCAATATGAAATATTAGAAATGTCAAATAGTTTTAGTAGTTTCAAATTCTTGCTAACAAAAAATAAAAGATAGGTATTTCAATAGAAACAGCTAATTTTGTTCTCGATGTTTTACTAACGAACGGTACAGAACTTTGACGAAAACACGCAACGAACGTACTGAAAAAAAATTGACGAACGGTACACAACGCACAACGTCGATCCGGAATCAACCATACGTTGGTTATACCCGTGTATATTCAAGTAAGAATCTACGGCTAGCTTGCATTTCAAATTGTAAATATCATCAATATTAAAGTCATTAAAAGACTATTTTCAGTTGTTTCATGTCGAATTATCATATAAAACAACAATGAAAATTCATTGCACCTCCGAAAATTCCACATCAGAAATGATCGCATCGCATTTATAGTTAAAATGAATCGCATTCAGTAATAATATTATGGATTCAGCTGCTTTAGTTACACTTTTTTGGACTTTAATCCTGTTATTATACATTAAAAAGTTATATTCTAATGAAATTGTGTTAAAACATACTTTCAAATCAATTATTTTGTATTTTCAAAAAGTAAACAAACGCAGTTTTTCCCATCATCCTTTATTCTACAATAGACATACTCGCATACGACATTGAAAATGAACTAACTGGATTCGCACTTTATATACACTGATTATATAAAGGATAATAATGAGAAAATTAAATGAGGCCGAAAGTCATAACATTGAACATATCGAATAAGGATTACGATAACGGAATTTATATCCAATTTATAGATGTCTATCTCTTGGACATGCACGTTAAAAAGGGTATATTTATGTCACATTAGTATAATTATTATTAGCGTTTATAATTTACTACTGGACGCTAAGCCGCCTTCAATCAATCATATTTTATGTACATAATGCAAGAAGATTCTATTTATGATATAAACCTGAGTAGGGTACGTTTGAGATACTAAATGTATAACAGCAAAAATTTTCATCCGTATTAAGAACGTCCTGCGGCAAATATTTTATGGATAATCACATCGTCTAGCGGCAAAAGTTTGGAGCGAATTTAGGACATCCGGCGACATATATTTCGTGCAAGACCACATCGAAAAAACTGTACACATGTTGGGAAAGGACCCCCCCCCCGCCCAAATAAATAAATAAATAAATAAACAGTGTACTAAACTAAGACAGGAGTATTTCATTATATTTGGACATGCTGGTTGACTTTATTCTTTAATTTAAAAAGAATTTCATGACAGACTCAAGACTTTTCTTTACTGAGAAAAAGGTGTTGAAGATCATACATGACAATTATATTGTCTCTCAAAGTTAATTAACATTAAATTGGCTTACAGTTCATTGTTTTGTTCAATTTAAAGTTTCTTAAATTTCAACAACCGTGTTATGTACTAGTATTCATTTACGTAACAAAGAAGTGGAATAGAACGACAATAATACACTGTAGTAACATGATCAGTTGTGCATAGAATAATCTTGATTATAATTAAATACTTTAAGGACAAGTATACAAAGTGTGGTAATTATATATATATCAATTCCAAGTTACTAGTATTAGATTACTGTTTCTTATTAAATGACAAGGAAATATCAAGTATATATACGTTTCATGGAATTTCATTGGAAAGATTCCTAAGCATGTTTCTTGGTTTTATGTATTTAATCGTTCTATCAAATTTTGTCCTGTTTAAGTGGGATATTGAATGAGTGAAAAGGACGGCTGTAACAAGTAGTGAGTATTTCTTTAACATCGGACACAGTATTTTAAATTATATTCAGCATGGAATCAGGGGACTCGATGGCCGAGTGGTCTAAGTAGTTACTACTGTAGCCAGTCAACACTGAGGTTGTGAGTTCGAACCCCGCTCGTGCGGGTGCACTCGACTCATATCTTAATTGACTAAGATTGTCAGTTTTCCTATCGGAGGTCGGTGGTTTTTTCCGGGCACTCCGGCTTCCTCCACCAATCAAAACTGGCCGCCACGAAATAGCCCAAAAGCGGTGCTTAAAAGTGGCGTTAAAACACAAAAAATCAAAAAATCAAATCAGCATGGAATCGGAAATACACGTAGTACAATCAAATGAGGTTGACAATATTCCGAGGGACAAAATTAATTGTGGTTGTTATTTATTTTTTTCTGACAGAGATTTTGATATAGTTGGAGTATTTTGTAGTTTATTATACTCTTTTGACCAAAATGCTGTGTTTTAAGCATGACATATTCGCAGTGCACACAAACCTGTGCAACAGGTAAAGTTTCAAAGCCTTGCAAGGCATAGATATACTCTGCCAAAAAAAAAAGCAGAATGTGTTTTTTAAATGTTTTGTGTATTTCAAATCGAATTTTTTCCGTAATGCATTAATTGGAATTTTAATTTAGTAAAAAAAAATCATTCACGAAGGTTATTTTGGATACTGAACGATTATTTGAAAGAAAAGAAAGCAAAAAAACAGTCATCACATACGATAACTTGTGTCAATTTCCAGTATCTTTTATTACAACCATGCGCTATGTATATATATAACCTTTGAATGGATCGAATCAAATTTTCTATTCGGTCATGTTACAACGCTTTACTGATTTAGTTCAATGATTTAGTCGGGGTTTTGCGTTGGCGAACAGGTCACCAAGTTTCTCCCAGACATGCTCTATGGGGTTCAATTCGGAAATTTTGAGGGCGATCGAATTCATCGTTCGCAAAGCCTGTTTCGAACTGTCTAGGCGGAAATTCTCCATAAACCTGGGATGATAGCAGCAGCGGTTGTTAAATAACTTATTGCTTAAATATCTAATTATTCAAATATTCATTTATTTATTGGCAAATGTATAATAAAAATCAAGAGAACATATATGCGTTTCTTTTTTCCAGAGCAAAGATATAGTTGAATGCTTTTTGTATTTCACCTTCAGGACTTTTTGTGTTAATAATTTTTAACTGTTTTACAGAGGGTGTAAAATAAACTATATTGTTGTAGTTGAGTAAATTCGGTTAAAAGTTCAATACGGTTTTTTAAATTATAAGGTTAAAGCTTATATGTTATGTCTTTGTTTTGTAAACAATGCCGACTCGAAATAAAGCTTATTTATAATTTATTTATTACTAGTATTGTCTTTAGCTAACAATTGTATTTGCTATAGATAATCGAGCGACAATAGAGATCTGCACACTGCCAATAGGTGATTGCAGGTGCACATTTCTAATTACGGAAAACGCGCAGGTCCCGCCTGGTGATCGTATTTAACTTGTTTACCACGTTCATATTAATTGAATTAACCATTTGAAGTTTCATAGTAAATATCTTTTCCGTGTACTAAGTAACTAAGCATAAATGAACATAAGGGTAAGATTTCATTAGCACATTATTACAACTCCTCGCTCAATCAAATTGCTTGAATTTGCCTTCTAAGTTTCATAGTATATACTTTCTCCGTGTACTAAGTAACTATACACGAATGACTACTAGGGTAAGATTCCATTGTATCGTGATACAGAAAAGGCCACTGCCTATTTTGGAAAACAATTTAATGTTGTGTCCCAATTTAAAAAAAGAAAATGTTTTTAATTAGTTTTCACAATGATGTAGACTGCTATTAAAATCCTTGCTTTTAAGGTGGTACCTAACACTACAGGGAGATAACTCTGTAAAAATCAGCTAAACGTTTTAATTACGTTGTATTGTTAAGGAAATATTAAGCTTCTCAATGATCAAAATTAGTGTTTGTCAAACTGCTATATAACCAACGAAATTTTTCTGATAAAGTGGTTGGTTCAAATTTTTTGAAATTTTTATATTTTTGTCAAAGGGTCAAAGTAAACATTTTGTCAAAATTTTATGAAAATTAAACGAGCCAAATTAATATTAGTCAAGGTGTTGGGTACCACCTTAAAACATTTTTTTTAAAGACAATTAAGTTACTATCACGTAAGTTTCAGTAACATCACTTTGTTTATTGCACTGAAGAGGACAGACCGATATCCCCCGAATTCATTTCTAATAATTTCGTTAAGTCTCTCATCTATTTCCTAAAATTCGCACTTCAAATATTTTTACAACATGTTAAACTTTAAGTATTTTTGTGACCAAACTATAAATGCCTAAAGATGGTCCAAGACTTCAATTTTTACAGATTTTGACAAATGTTGAGTATTTTTTTTAAAAAAGTATAAAAGAATACAAATTTAAAAAAATGAGTTAGAGACGTACTTTGATGCATATTAAAAAAACTGTAACATTGTCGATAGTGTGTGTTCAACAGCAATGTGCAGCGCTTAATACCATTTTAATTTATTTGAAATATGTAGGATTGTTACAAATTGTTTGATTATGTTATATAGACTCTTTAATATTCGATTGTTGAATATGTAAAACATCTCGTTAGAAAAACTATACTGCCTGAAATTAAATGTAGTATTTCTTTGGAGGTAAATTATTGAGATAACTAAGATAAAACAGGGCCACAAAGAGCAAAGCACAATATACATCAGGCATTATTTTTGATAAAAAAAATCCCCAAAACATTGCTACAATGAGCGCAAGCAGTTGATTGTCCATCTCATCTTATCTCAATGCTCTTCAACTTTGTACTTGTTTGGCTTTATAACTATTTTGATCTGAGCGTCACTGATGAATCCTGGTACCTTTGATAACTATTATCACTATTAAATGAATTTTAGTCTGAAATGGTTATTTTGATCTTAACAGGATCTGCAAAGTCTAAACAATAAATTACTTATTCATGTCCAGCTTTTCAGTCTATTTTCAGACTTATCTATTGCGGTAAATTCGGTACTGTTCAGACAGTTCGCATTCAATCAATTCAGTAATTTCAGTAGCTTTTCAGACAGTTCAGTACGATGTTGATGTTTACATGTGAAAATCAGCTACCGAACCATGTGAACAGTCTGAACAATGTATCTTTTTTTATAATTTGCCAATTCCCTGGTTTATGTAGTTATCTAAATTGCTTTCTAATATCAGACTAACAACCCATTAAGACCGGTTACTTTCCAAGATGAATATCGCAATTGTAATCTCAACTTATAAGTATAAACAGGCAAGTACAGTCTTTACCCATAGTTAATCATTTTCTTTTTTTTTAATTAGTTGTATATTCATTAATGGATGAGATATTATGAAAGATGGACACTGAGACGAATTTCAATTCCAGGAGCCACATCCCAATAAAGAACAATGTTATTATCGACAGATGGTTAAACCATTCTTCAAAACAACGTGACAAAAAAGGAAAACCGGAGGTAATGTTTTTATAAAAATAAGGCGATGTGGTATGATTGCCAATGAGACAACTATCCACCAAAGTTCAAATGAAGTAGATGTAAGCAATTATAGGCAACCGTACGGCCTTCAACATTGAGAAAACCCCATTTTGTTTATTATATGACTTTCAAATTTCTGTTTTCTCATTGCATAAAAGCATGTAAAAAATTGCTTACATGCTATAACTCATCATTATAAAGCTGTAGACCAAATATAAAATCATTCCCTTTAATAGAGGCACATAAACCTTTGACGAAAGTTTTCTACCAAGGTCTTTCGGACGGACTGACAGAAGGACGAACGCAGTAGAGCGGTTATTAAACCAGCTTTCGCCTTTGGCGATGCAGGTAAAAAGAAAAAAAGGCCATATTAAAAAAATGGTCCTATTTGGTGATATAGCTCTTCAACTGTTTCGGTTCTTTTAAATGCTTGGCTTTCTATTTTTTTTTTGCCTTTAACGTTCCTGATAAAGGTAAATCCAGAAAAGCGTTTCGAACGCACGCATTCAACCTTATGATTACCTTCGAAAAATCATAAAATAAATCGGAGTTACAGGTAAAATTCCGAGGAATTCTCATGGCTTAACCATTTTTCTTAAACATGAATGGTGCAATCTGATTGGTCATTTCATGATTTTGATCTCATACCAGGAAAACAGCTATTAATAAAATCTAAAGGGAAGACCTGCATTATATAGATATATGTATATAAATCCCTATGTGTACAACATTAATATAAATATTTAAGACTATTTTATAATTCCAAAATTTTTCTGTATGTGATATTGAATTTATCTTTTTTTCAGGAAAAGGCACAGGAAATAAGGAAAAAATATACCTTTAAATACACGTAAGAAAAGTCGATCACCATAAAAGAAAAAGCTTGGTATATTTTTATGATATGGTAGTGCGTTCCGCTATCGTTTATGCAAACATATTGAGGCATAAGATACAATGCACAAATCATTTAAAACGAAAATATTTTTGTGTACCTAAATACAATCTTGTTTTTAACATATACCCATTTAACGAATTATGATATTTTTTTTAATTGAACATACATTTTTTGTAAAATTGTAAAACCTGTATAATTATATGCAATTAGAAAACAAATGTTTGAACAATACATTATCACATGCACGGAGAACGAATTACGAATTTTTATAACATACTTTTAATTAAGTTACATAAGTCTAAATCTTCTGTATTTATAACTTAATGGAACTACATGTAAATAAATAATTGATTTTAGAAAAATATTACTGTGGGCAACCGCAACGTTTATTGTTCAGACTGAAAATATGATGTCTAATGTCTATAAGTTGTAACAAAGATGTAAAAACAATACCAATCAATATTTTATTTCAAGCAGGTTATCTTATAGTTAATTTTCATTTAATGTACACAATGTACGGATGAATTTGTATCTAAAAGAGAGGCGAAAGATACCGAAGGGACATTCAAACTCATAAGTCGAAAATAAACAGACAATTAAAAAATAAAACGACCAACAGACAAACGACAGTACACAAATCGCAACATAGAAAACTAAAGACTAGGCAACACGAACCCCACCTAAAAACTAGGGGTGATCTCAGGTGCTCCGGAAGTGTGAGGAGATCCTGCTCCACATGTGGCACCCATCGTGTTGCTCATGTAAGTACAAACCCGGTGATAAGTCTAATTCCGTAGTTCACAGTCGGGGCAAAGGGGACGGAATAGTAGTTACGACAATTGGAACATATCCGTCGTCATCTGTTTAACAGATATTTCATAACGGTCCACCAACGCGTATTGGCGTCCATAAATTTATGAAGGGATTCCAACTTCACCACTTGGAACTCTAGGTTTAATAGCTTCCTTTGAGCAGCAACCCTCTATCAAGGAAATCATTATAGGAAATACAAGCCCTGCAATATTGTATCAACTGGGAGATATATACTCCGTATGAAATAATCTCTCTCTCTCTCTCTCTCTCTCTCTCTCTTGTTCACACTGTCTTACTCTCTATCTTATATACGTACATTTAGACAAAAATACTTCCATAGAAAGATGCATTGATTAGATAAAATTAATAGATTGATATATTATAAATTACTGTTATATTTGAGTATATTATGCTATAAATTTAAAGTTATGAATAATAAAAGAAAAATCATCATATTTTATACTTTTGTTAGACGTGGAAGTGAGACACAGAACAACCTAAAACATGGAATTATCCGATTCAGATCAGATGACACAGAAGAGCAAATGAAAATTCCTGTATGTTCTTTAAATATGTTAAACTTTGCATTTTGAAAGTATAAATGAGTTATGCGTAAACACCCATTAGAAAAAAATCAACTATATATGCAACTAGTCAAAAATTTAACTAAAGTTTGAAATTTCAAGTACAGAACCGTTTTATACAAAAATAGAAAGTGCGACTAAATCTAATCATCGGATTTTGTTTAGGCCTTTTACATGTTTTACTAAAGCCGTCAAACGTTTTTGAATTGGCTTCCCAAACATAAGATATCGAGCAAATATACCTGTAGAAAAGAAAGATATTCTATGAATACGGATTATCTGTACTGCAATTGTGTGGACAGAATGGGTAAAGACGGGGAAGTGTGATGTTGGAGGGGGTGTGGGGGTCGGGGGACAACCCATTTTATATGAACGAAAATGTGGGCTCTAGTGTGAAGGTTTGATTTTTGATGTAGTTTTAAAAATGCTGGATCGTTACTATGCGAAGATATCAAATGCAGATGTTAAAGTGTAGATATATATATATAATATACTAAACCGAGTACATACAGTGTATTGGTTTCTAATCCAATATTACAGGATTGTCATCGAAGTATTACAGTAGATAAATACACACACACATACACACACACACATGAACATATAGATCACATCAAAACCTATATATAAGTATATACATATATCCCCTCCAAGTTTAAAATAAGAAATTGTAACATTGATTTTATTTTTATGTCCTTATATAAGAAACCTTTACGATCATTTAAATTTACTTCGAAATCGTCAGAACATTTATACTGATATTTATCATAATTGTTAGGATCAAAAGACAATTTACAAGAACGTCAAGATCTGTCTTTCAGTAAATTTCCTATGTAGTCCTATACCTTTTTCAGTGTATGATAGCACCTGATGACATTGACTGTAAGGTGATATATGAGGAGATGCTCAAATGGATTCCTGATAAAAAAGCACCAAAGGCAGTTCTTTCCCTTACTGGAGGATCAGAAAATTTTTTAAACAATGAAACAATTGCAAATAGATTGAAAAGTGGCTTACTGGATCTAATAACCACCACAAGTAAGCCAGAATATTGCATCACTATATTTTCTCTCTTTTGCGTATTTCATCAAATCGAGTGTTCGTAAGATTCAAACGCCTCGGTACGTTGTTTTGTTGTATCGGATAAAAACGCAATAGACGTTACGCACGATACTGGTGATACCTGACGTTACATTAAAATAACGTCGAAATACACTTTTTGACTGACGTTTTATCCAAGTCGCTTGTTGTTAAACGAACGTATGAATTTATGTTTGTCACGATTGTCCCCCCATTCGTTTTTACCTCTTTAAAGCATTCCCTACATGTACATGTATATATTTTCATATATTATTGGTTTCTATAACTACTGTTTCTTTATAGGGATAAATACTGATTAATAAATTTCTAGCATTTTATTTCATTAATACATTCTAAAACATTTAAATGTGTTTCTTCTGTGATTCGAATGACATTGTTTGCGGTTACTTCCGAACAAATATAGACCACTGACGCAGCAGGTACAACCGCTTTCCTGTTCACAAGACGATATTGAAAAGGCGAGTTCGTTTTGTTGTAATATAGACCACGAAACACAGGTGTTCCCGCAGGGAGTAAAGATCCCCAAGAATCCGTTGTGTCAATGCGTAACGTTTCCATGCTTTTCTCTACTTTCAGCATATAGTACTCCTCCTCATCGTCGTCAGTATATAACGCAACTAATTGACCAACCGAAACTAATTCTTGCAAAGACACTTGTTCATTTTCTTCATTTTCTTGTGCATCCGCTCTGTATTCTCGCTTCATTTCCCATTCAGTATAACCACCAGTTTTTATCGAATTAGAACACTGGTCATACATGTGATGACAACAGTTTACACAGAAACAAGACAATTCACTGATATTTATCAATCCTTTAGCAGAATCACGACTAGCTCTTACTTGGTGAAGAGATCGAATGCTAGGCACCGGCTTAAAAGACAGTCTGTTGTCACGGTGAATCGTTTCCGCATATCGGAATATTCTTCTCTTACAATGTGACCTCGGTTGTGTTAGAAATGAATTCGCGTATTCATAGAGATCTTTTGCTGTCCTTATCTGAGTCTGTCCTCGTAAAATGGCACAGTCGGCTTGTCTCTTAATAATTCCTCCAGCAGCGTCTTGTGGTCCTGAAATGCACAGATAAGTTTTTTATGTCAACTGCATGACATTGGACCTTACCATTTTACCGCGTTCAAGGTTTATGATTTTTATAATAGTAACAATACCGAAAGTCACGAGAAATATAAGAGATACATTGAATACCCTACAGCGACTGCCAAGATGAAGAACAGAAATAAAAGCCCTGTTCCTTGATACAACGTATTTATTTTTGTGTCAGGTGTAATTTAGTCCGACGCACATGTTTTATCAAAATACATTTATTTCTAATTCGATATAATAAAAAAAACATGTAAAAAAAAAACTTTCTAGAATAATGTTTTCAAACATTAACCCATAATGTGACGGATTGAAAGAAAACAGTTTACCGATAATGTGAATACCCGACCGCTTTTAAAATATTTACATTTTACACAAATAACTCATAAATATTCAATCAATCAAGCTAAATAATATGTATTCCATTGTACTCGAAAATGTGAGAAAAATCATTAAATCTGTGTCCAAGATATCTAGCGTAGAGACTGACAGACGGACTGACATTCAACTGTATTTAAAGGCAATCATAGTAGTAAGTTCGAGGATAATAAACTAAATTATTATAAATACCTTTTGCATGGGAAGTTTCGAAGAAATTTCTTGTGAAATGTTGATATCCAAAGTCGTCGCTTGTTTGACTAATATCTCCGAAACAGTGTCTGCTCTTATACTGGGCTGCACACCCGTCAGTAAACTCGTGCATTGTTTCTACTGAATATGAAATCGACTGTAAATATTCCGCTATATAATTTCGGACTTGGTGAACAAAGTATTGATCATGAACTAAGTCTGGGCTTATAACGAAAAATTGTTCCGTGATAATTTCAGGAAAGTCTTCTGAACTATCAACACCATCGTATTCTAGCAATGCATGTCTATGTAGAATAGTAACATGGACCGACACTTCGGTTTTTTGAAAGTAAGCACTTTGAATCTCAGTAAGCTCGGAACACCTGTAATTTTCACTAAAGTCATGCACACAAACACATTGCTTTTCTGGGAGATTTCTAACAAGATTTTGAAATTGTTCATTTTGCCATGTAGCTCTGTGCTGATGCACTGGAAAAGTTTCAATTAGTTTTCTGAAATATGAAAACAATTCACCAACTTGACTTTCTTTTTTCACGAGCATTAGTTTCTTTATGGTTTTGTTCCCTTTAACATTAACGCTTACATTTTCAAACTTTTCCCACTTTACAAATTCAGCAGTGTCAGATACATCAAGTTCACAAGGCAGAAAATTTAAGATTTTAACTCCACAATCGGAACAGTTTCTTTTAAGGCACTGTAAATTGTGTGAACCATCAACTTTTTCGCATAATGTTGCATTAACGACATCAGATATTGAATCGTACACAGGAGTAGAATAGCATTCATTCGGTTCATTTTCTATCAAAAGTTTCTTTCGGAATTCCATACACGATTTAAAGACAGTTTTAAATTCTACATGGTACTTGCAGCAACATGCTTGTCTATCCTTAGGTCGGACGGGTCGCACAAAGTAGGGTTTGCACCTTTCGAACATTCTTTGAGCTATTTTAATAGAGGGGTTTTCTCCAATAAAGTCCAAATACACATCGGTCTGTGTTTTTTCTAGTATGTGTGTCATGTGGCTTGAATAAGTTTTCGGACCAATGCGGACCCTTTTGATATCTGCCTTGTTACCAGTCGGACGAGAAATACCAGGCTTACACCAGAACTCATAAATACGTTTCTTCGTGTCAGGTGTTATTACATCTGATCTAGTTTTTCTATTTGTGTAAGTCCAGCTTGATTTTTCAGATTTAAGTATTCTTGTTCTAATTGCATGACCACGGCTAACTCTTCTTACCGGTAATCCCAATTTCCTAGCCAGTTTCTTTCTGCATTTATTGTCACTGATTTTTTCACCACTTACTGATGAAATAATAACATTCATCGTTTTCAAAGAGTCATCCGATCTTTTCCTCTTACAGTTGTCAATAACTGTTTTTAAATCTTCTGTCAAGGCTTTTGATGTTTTGTGTTCTTCTATTTCCTCTGGCGAAGAAATCACTTCAGAAGATTGCAGTTTTCTCACAGTCGGCGAGTTCGAATTTTGCAAGTATGCGACCATGGTTGTCACCCGCCTGTCTGGGCTCTTTGGTAGGGCCAGTTTCAGTTTCTTCAATGCCCGATGTTTTTCTGTTCTATTCTCGAAAGTATTTCGCATATTTAAATCCTCGTTTTGCCTTTGATCATTGATATTTTCTTCACGTTTTCTCTTTCTATATTTCCGTTTTCTCTCCGTTTCTTTGACCCGTCTCATTTGTTCTTTCTCTTGTTTCTCTCTATGTTGTCTTTGGCGTACTGCCTCATCTGATAAAGCATACTCGTTTTCCTTTAGATTTCTATTTCTGTAATAAGATTCAAGCCTTTGTTCTCGTCGCTTTTGAAGCTTTTCTTGTTTGTACCGTTCAAGTCCTTCCTTAGATGACATCCTTTTTTTTTCACTGAAATAATTATGAAAGATTTATTATATAAATTATTTTAGATACGATTGGGACAGATTTACGATGACAAAAAATAAATACAAATACAAACACTTGCAGATAATCTTGAATAGTTTAATAATATCCGATTGATTTTCACAGATAATGTAATCTTCAAATTATTAGGAGCGAATTTGTTTCTCGCTTCTGAATAGACTAATTTATTTATTCAAATCAGGGGCCCTCGAAAGGCCATACAATGCATACATTAATCATTTTGACAATTATCAACAACAAAAAACGTCTGTAACGTTACGTGTAACTTTCAAAAACGGAGTTCCATGTATGTGACATTTTATTGGACATGCGGTTTTGTTTGTAATTTGTGCAAACCTGGGCGCATTGTCATGTTTCAAGGCTCAAAATGCGAAGAAAGGTTTGTACTTTTTAAAGCGGTAAATAGAATTAAGGAAATATTCAATAAAACAAATTAATTTAATCTCATTCGACGGATTAGTGCCGGAAAATGTGTGAAAACTGTACTTGTGACAAATTCTTGGACATGAGAAAAATTCCGACCTGTGTAAACCGACGTAACAACAAAGAAAAAAAATAAATGATTTAAAAGGCGAGTCTTTGTACAAAATAATGATACCAATATTGATTAACTTACCAGTATTCTGTTCATAAAAATCAAGTCCGTAAGTTCGGCTAAAATATTTCCCTGCTTGTGGGACACTTTTTAATATCTCATTCAGGGGCCCATTGCTTCGCTTCTAGTACTGGTTGTGTTCAAATTTTTTGACGTCACAATGCTATGACGTTGAACGTTGCGCTGCCCGAAAATGGTGACTTTTGGTGAAAAAATCACCAATCTTCAGCACATTTTGCCCAAATATCGGCATCTATTTGTAACGCGGGATAGGAGAAAAATGACGTTATTTTTTAAAATCGTGTTCGGTTTATTCACATACACTTGTATTAAAATGTCATTCAAGACTTAAAATAAATTCCCAAGACATTCAGCTTTATTTTGATGTAAAATTTATATGTTTTCCAGTAGCAACGACAATATAGTGACCAATTGTTGCTTATGACACGGTATTTTTTCTTGAGTGTGACCAGTTCCGTGCGTAACGTCAATAATGTTTGACTTTTGAACACATTTGAAATCAAGAGTCTTCCATTTATAAGAAAAAAGTAGCATTGTAACATGAATGGTAAATTTTCTTTTCATGTTCGGGGAATGAATTCCTGCGTTTAAAAGAGGTGCGCACTAACATAATGCGGATTATGTTATTGTACTATCATATAAACAAAGAGGCAATATTGTTTTTCTTTATCAAAACCTTTCAACTAGAAAAACCAAAATCTAAATTTAGATAAAAAAAGTCGCATGTACCCAAAACAATCTTGTTTAAGGGAGACAATTTCCCTGATTAGCCCTTCACCTTTTTGTTGTGTCCCTATAGCGACTCCACCAAGTGTAAAATATTGAAAATCTGGTTTCCGTCCCGCCTTTACCGTAGAGGTATGTATTTCTTTCTGAATTAACATTGGAGTTCAGTATTTGTGTTAAAACTTTTTTGTTGTCATTCAAATTAACACAATGTAATTACAAAAAGATTTGATCAATGGACGTTTCGCCATCAATAATCAATCAATTAATTGGAAAAAGAGGAAAAAACTTCACAATTATTTTTTAATGTTTCCTTTTTACTATTCAAGCGCATCTGAATTGAAGTTACACGTTCTATTGACTTTGAAAGCAGGCAACAGGAAATACAAGCCCATCAAAAAGGATTTTGCTGCTACGCCTCGAAAAGCATCGGAGAGGGAACACTATACAAGAACACATAAACGCTATCGGGGGTGTAAACTTCATTGAAAATCTCGTTGCATAGATTAATCTACTGAACGGTGCGAATTATCTAAAAGTGAAAGACGTTATATATATATATATATTTATTTATATGTTGTACTGTTTTAATGATATCTGGCAGGTCTCTGGCTCATTACTGGAGCATGGAACACGGAAATTACTACTTCTGTAGGAGAGGCAATTCAGGAATACAGGGATAAACATGAAAACAATGATCATATCCTGGCGTTTGGCTTTTCATCATTTGGCAAGGTAAGATTGTCAAAAAATAGACCAACATGCACATGTAACAGTGGGAGAAAAACCAATAACCGTTATTTCAAGGGAGGTCAGGAGCCTACATATTGAAATTCTGATATTCGACCTGTTTAATAATTACAATATGATGGGAAAGAAAATAAGACCCCCTCAAAACCCAGTTTAATGAGTCAATATCAATAATAACATCGAAACGTACAATTGGCGCAAAAACCAATGTTTTTTTCTTCATAATTTTATTCCGTTTAGATTGTTTTTACTTTTTTCTAGTTCAATACAGTTTTAATGTTGATTATGAGTTGAAATAGGAATAACAGTATTTTATACAAACAATCGCCAAATTTCCAATTTATTATTATTGATGATAATGCTGAAGTTTCTCATTGACAACATATTTGTGAAATTTGGATGATGATAGAATTTTCCAGCAGGTCGTATCCATTTCTATGGGAACCAACCGTGCGCCTCTCGAGTCTGAGTTCCTTCAAACACTTGTGAAAAAAACAAGATCAAAGAAGCTCGATTATTTAATTTCACATACAGGTATATTGATGATCTTTTTTCCATTAACAATTCAAACTTTCCTGATTGGGTCCCAATAATATATTCTCTTCAACTAAAGATTAAAGAAACCACAGATACAACTTCTTTATCCTCCCTTTTAGACATATACCTCGAAATTTACTACATTGATCATCTCAATACCAGAGTATGTGACAATTAAACCAGTCGAATTCAATGTTGAAATCATTAACTTTCTTCACCTTAGCAGCAATATTCCAACTTCACCGGCGTATGGACTTTACATTTCTCATCTCATACGATATTCAATAGCTACTCAGACTTTGTTAAACGGCATCGAAATCTGAGCAAAAGTTAATGAGCAAGGGTCAAAAAAGATCTCGTCCTGCTTCTTAAAAAACTCACCGGAAAGTACCAAGACTTAAAAGATGAATATTCAGTGTCTACTTCACCAATAGTACAGGATGTTCGTGAGTTATAGATTATAGGTGCAAACGTTGTGTATTATTTTATTTACTTTACAGTTTCCCCTTTGTTTGTCTTTGTACTATTATATTCCTTTTATTCGTTTGACTCTGGGTGTGGCTCGATTTTTGTGCAGTCAATTTTTGAGGTTTTTGGCTTTGAGCGTCCCTGATGCTGGTAGGTGCGATCTGGACGCATGAGTTTTTAACTGTGCTGTTTTCGTTTTGTATACTCTTATAATCATATTTTATCGAATTTGCACCTTTTTGGGGATGGTGCCAATCCCAGTAAGTTTTACTATACTTCATGTACTATCAACTTCAAAACATTTTGTTGTTTGGCGTCTTTGTCAGATTTCTTTGTATGTTTGTTTGAATATTTTGAGTCGGTTGTGTTGTATGCCTGTGATGTATGTTTATACACAGTTTTGGCTGCTGGATCCCAATTGTCGTCACGTTAACCAATTTTGTCTGTTTGGGTTATTCACCCAATATTGTAAACATAACGCAACTTTAAACAACTGTGTTACAAGTGGGAGGTGTTGGTAAATAAAATCGAGCGAATTGTTCTATTTTTTGTGTTCTGTATTTTTCTTAATAGTTTCTTCTTATAGCAAAACTGTATAATAAAGTATTAGTGGTGCATAACACCAAATTGTTTTCAACAACCAATTCCACGGTTCCTGTTGCGACTTTAAACATGTTTTGGTCTGATTGCAGAAAAATGTAAATCGGCTTTATAATGTTGAACTAGCTTTAATTTAGTTATTAGTTAAGGTTTTTTTTCTGTGCTTAGTCCCGATCAGATGAGTAAAGCAATTTTCAAACTGATTTGTCTTGATTGCTCTTATGTAGTGCTTTTATACCACCATACCAAGTAAGTGGGAGGTTTTAGCGCTCGAAAAACATAGTTCATATTCCTTATGAGCATGCCTTAGATAAGAAGCATGTAGTTCAGTGGTTGTGGTTGGTTGCACTCTATCCTGCATTATTTCGTTTGTTGATTTTAGCATTAACAGATCGTTCGTGTTCTCTTTTGAATTGTTTCACATTTTGTCATGCCAGAGTCCTTGATCATTGTTAAAGGCCATATCGTGTCCTATAGTTGTTTACACCATCGTCCTTTGGTCTTTAGTGGACAAATGTTTCGTTGGCAATAATACCACATCTCTTTATTTCTATAAACTTAAAAAAAGAAGACACAAATGGATGGGTTAAATAAGAATAAAAAACTGAATGGTACATCTGTTTCAAAGACAAAATTTAACATATTTCCAAACAGCTGTCATGACATACCTTCATGACAAATGTGCTGTTTTATCGCTGTTTTGTGTATTTTTCCTTTGATCTTTTTTTGTGATAATTCTACTTGATTGAGATAGAAAATTATCGCTAGAAACTAAGGACGCACGTGCCGTTGTCAACGTAAACATCAACTACGTAGTAGGCAAAAAAGCGACAAAACAGATAATGAATGGTCTTTCAAACTCGAGCATGTTTGTCGGCCACATCTCATCTCAGGGCTTTCGCCCTTCGATGACATTGTATCTAAGAAACACCCTCTCGTTTGAAAAACCATCGATAATCTATAAATCCCAACAGAAAAACCCTCAACAATATCGTTAATGTTTGTAAATCACATAACATACTAAGCTGTTTGATAAAGCGAGTCAGCATTCACTTTGAAACCAAACATATACTTCCATGACAATTACACAAGAGGAAAACCGGAGCAATCATGGGTCTATTCAATCTTCCATAGGAATTACAACCAAAGATCAGGACAAGATCTTACTCCCCTGTACTGGATACTCATATTACACAAGTGCCGTTACAAACAACGTTCTTATTACTAGGTCTACCAAATGCTTCATGAAACCCTGAGGAGAAAGGGAATACAATGGAAACGTTTATACATATTAGAGAGAGAATACAGCATAATGTCATAGGGTTACTGTTTTCAGATTGTTAAAGGTTATTACCAAACCTGCAATGGGAAGGATTTAGAACCAAACCATTCGCACTTTATCATGGTAGATGGCAGTGAGGAACGGGTATTGAAGATGAGGACAAACCTAAGAAGTTATCTTGCAAGTATGAACAATACTTTCAGTAAAATTCTCCATAGCATTATATATTACATAATGCAAAAGGGTAGGAATTCTAAGCAGTTTTTCTGCAAAAACTGAAATCCTTTGATGTTTGTATTACACACATAAACAACAATGTAGTAATCATACGAATAATTAGCCTCAAGTACATAACTACCATCAAATTCAGTTTCTTCAACTTTAGAAATGTTTAGTTAGATAAACTTTAACAGGTGGAGCTGGAATAATTTAAAGGTTAGTGAAGTATTCCCCCATCACCCTTAGAGAAAACAATCTCTAACAGCAGCTCGTCTATTCTTGTTTTTTTGTCTTGACAAATAAAAAGTTGTAAACCATAAAGGATATTTCTTGCACTCTTGATTTCAACCTGTTTATAATTTCAACTGTGAGTAAAATTGTAATACATTGCAAACTCTTAATATTATGAGATCATTAAGAAAACAATGAAGCTGGGTTAAAAAAAAACCCACTCATTTACATCTGTGAAACCAACGCTCTTGAGTGCACCTGTCCAATATTTCGTGACAATTGAAGTCATAGAAATTATGTCTCAAATCTTCTTTCCGTGTCTTTATCTCAGGTGTACAGTATGCGATGTGATGCTTTCAAAATAATCCTTTTTAACTCCTATTTTTCAACTACATTAATATAAATTTAACTAACTTTTCGATTCATAGTTCAACATTACAAATAAAACGTTCTTGGTATTTGGTACCAAACTTTAGTTAGTTTGTTACACTACACGATAACAGCCGATTTGGAACGTCGTTTATGCCAAATACATCTTTGCCATTTACATTTGTACATTCTATCTACTTATATTATATTTTCATCGCATTTGACTTACTTAATATCATACCATTTTAATATTTAGTACCAATTATTACCTGGGTTACTTCTCATTAAAGATACCAGGCTTATACTTTTTTTACACCAGACGCTCGTGTCGTATATACTATACTCGAGCTCATCAGTGGTGAAAAGTTGAATGGCCAAATCAAACACAAAATTGAAGACGATTGCCAGCCAAATGATTCCAATAAACTGTGACAAACACGCCAACAACCTTAAGAAAACGCGTTTTCGGACCTCCCCATAATTAAATCTCATTTGCCAAATATGAATTCCATTTAGTAATGTTTTCCCGATATGTATAATTATTGTGTTTGAAAGGTCAAAATGATTTTTTTTATCAAATCAGGACATGAAGCGCATACCACTAAAACATTTAACTCTCCAAATATTTATTTTTTTATCTCTGTTAATTAATTTATGTAAACACAATTAAATCAATTAAGCATTCGAGTTTTATATTTTTATTATACTTTTTACGAGCTAACAACGCTTGCTCATTGTATAAAGCCAATAGAATCATTTTATTTATTATTATATAAGCACCAAGTTCACATGTTAAAGACATCTATAGTTTTATTTGTTCTGTATTATGAACTATTGAATGCATAGTTAGTCTATAACAGTCCATAAAACTTATTTTTTTCTGTTCTTCACTTGTTATTGAAAGATTGGCTGAACTGTTATTTTAACTACACATGCAATGGTAAATATTTGAAGCATATTCAGTACGATATGAACGTAACATGGATCATACTTTCAAAGTCAGGAGTCAGGTAAAAGCATTCAGAAAAGTGTCTGGAATCATATTTTAAATAAATATATAAAATAGCAGTAAATACTTCTGCAAGAAACGAAAGAAATTATGAAAAAAACATTGACTACTTGGCAATGGTATCTTAGAGGGCTAAATAGTACTTTTGATCCGTTAGCTGTGATACTACCTTGGACATGTTGGCTACACACTATTGAATTGAGATTCATCAGTTATGCTCAGATCCAAACATTTTGGCAGGCATAAATACACTAGAAGCTATGTACCAAAATGGCATAAAAAGAACACAAAATCCATCTTAGGTCTACTTTCCCTGTCTTATAAATATTTATTTTCATTTGTGTAGCACGTTTGCAGATTCCAGTGATACTGCTGATCGTAGAAGGCGGGTCAAAAACATTTGAAATAGCTTTAGAGTCTGTCAATAAGAATATTCCTGTTTTGGTAATAGAAGGGTCGGGAAAAGCAGCGGACTTCATATCTAAAGGGTATAAATTGAGCGAGGATAAAACCAGGTTTGTGTTGAATAGCATTATTATGTATTTGTGATAATGATAAGACCTGTGGTATTTAAAAATGTAATTGTAATTACATGTAATTGATTACAAATTGGAAAGTAATTGAAAGTAATGTGTATTTGAGCAAATTTTCAATTACATGTACATCTACATTGCCTTTTTGTCATGTAATAATAACATATTTTTTAATTACTTTTAATAAAATTGGAGTCTTGGCTTGGACGTTTAAACATTTATTGTTTCTCTGATGCACTCACACATGTATTCTGTAGTTGTTTGACCTCAATTAGTATGAACTTGTTACATGCACTTTCCATTTATTTTTGTATACCGTGTTAAATATTCATTATGGTTAATAAAATTAATAGCTTTTATTGCTATAAATTGAAAATTTATATATATATATAATGATGCTGATTTTCATTTAGTTTATTTATTAATTTCTACACATTTAAAACCAAAAAAAACAGATTAAAAACAATACAAATTTATTGACATTCAATTTGTATTGTTATTCTAACAATTAACGATAATCTTAGCCTCTGAATATATTCTTTCACTCAACTTATTGATGAATTACAACAATGTTCCTTGATGTTATGAAACATGCATGAAATACAAGAAATCTTATGTTAGCTAGTAAACTCAAATTTCAGATGAATGTGAAACATATATCTTTTAATGATTTAATGTTAAAATGAAAAATAAATTTCAAAACTAAAAAGAAAGGCTTCTACAGACTATCTATGTTTAAATGCTAAAAGGCATAAGGCTAGCTGGTTCACATTTATATTAGATGATAAAGTGTTTAGCACAAAAGTAATTGAAATGTAATTATTTATGTTGATAGTTTGTTGTGGTATGAGCCCGATTTACAATTGCAGCTATATAGTGATCACTAGAATTTTTAAATATATTTTTTATCTTTGTTTTTCTTTTGCCTTTTCGTAATTTGAAGATAACGTTTTCATGTTTGTATATAACGTTTTCATATTTGTATATAGTGAGGGAAAGAGCGTTTTTACTGAAATATTTGTGCCAGAAATGTTACAGTCAGCCAAAAACATGACAGTCACAGGCAAAGATGATCCTTCCAAGTTTGTGGACCAACTGAAACACTGTTTGAAGGAGAAGAGGGAAATGGTAGGGAAACAATAGTGTGGGCCTTCCTTAGTTGTCTAACTCTTATTCAGTTACTGTTATATAAGGAAAACTATTAAAAATCATCATTGCAAATAAAGAAATAAAATACAGACAATATAGCCAAGGCTCCGTGTTGAAGGCCGTACTTTGACCTATAATTGTTAACTTTTTATACATTGTGACTTGGATGGAGAGTTGTCTCATTGGCACTCATACCACATCTTCTTATTTATGATTTCAGCCATAAGTATAATGAATTGTTACGATTACCCCTTTCTCGCAAGATAGCTGAATACTGTAAGAGAATACATTAAAATGTACTGAACTCATCTATATTCTAAAGAAATTAAAGTTATATATACCAACTTTGTTACATTGGATAGACATTTTAAAATTTACTGGCACCAGTAACATTCATTGCTTAAAGTCGTAAGGGCCGAAAGAGTAGGAAAAAGCAATACAACACAAGATGGGGTGAAAAGAATTGTCGAACCACTAAAGGTCAACTTTGTCTATTGCATCATACTCGTAATTACAGAATTAATCTGTTGAGAATTTAGCAAATGGTCTTTAACAAACATGAACACTCTTTAAAAACGTATAATTCCAACTTTTTTTTTTTCTGATCCTACACTGCTCCGTCAGTAAAAAATATTATAATAAAATACATGTAGTTATACTAATCATTTTAAATCTCAATACAAATGAACAGTTAGTCACATCTTACCTTTTTGTTAAAAGAAGTCCAGAAATAGCGTAGCAGTTTTACTAACATTTGGTAAATTGCTGCCAGTAATACATCTGATTTATCGGCTCAATGTATGGACTAAAACGTCATGTTGATAAAATGAGATATTTCACAAAGCTTTACTAGACGGGCACATTAATAATAGAAACAGTAAATACACGCTATATTGCTTATGATCTGTTAAGATTTTTACACAGTCATTCCATTTTTGTTTGTTTGCAAGTAAAACGTTTTGTTTGCTGAAATAATTAACAAAAATATAAGTCAGATATTGCGGTGATTGCACGATCATTTCTTTACAACTTTCTAATTGAGGATGGTATACTGCACGCTCCAATATTTGTGAAATTGAATGCTTAATAGTATTACCTTATGACAAAGGGTTATCAAATGTGTATATAGGTTAAGATTAATTCCGAGTTTCAAATTTAAGAAAATTTAAACTTAAATGGCGATATCCTTTATTTTAGTCCCGTTATAGTTATATTACTTCTATTGAATTTACATATCCTATCTATTGTAATATTGATTCAAAGAATCTATGTCGGAGGTTGATTTATAAATGATCATCGAACATATCGAATTATGTGGTTTTTACAAAAAAGTAAAGAGATGTAAGCAACCGAACAGCCTCTAAAAATTCAACAATCCTTTGCTTTGTTTCAATTGGAGGTTAGTGTATCTAATGCTGATATTTCTTTCACATAGATATACGTTTTCTCATTAGACGATACCAGCGAAACCTTGGACAGGCATATTCAAGATATGATTTTCACAATAAGAAATAAAGGTACATTTGTTAATAAATACATAAAACTTGTTATCTTACATTTATTCACAGAGACATAAATAGTTTCTGTAAGATCGTATAGTTGTCCCGTATGTACCACTAGGGTAAAACTTCTTTGACCGGTAAGCGATCGGGCTTTGGATCTGAAACGTCATTTCGATCTAAACAGCTCTTAAAAAGACTCGAAATAATTTATTAAATCCTTTTCAGTCTATCAGTCAAATTGCAGACTTGTTCACTGAGGTAATTTCAGTACTGTTCAGACAATTCGCTTGCAGTCAATTAAGATCTGTTCAGTCTACGTGTAGATTGTTCAGTACTTGTTAACCTGTTCACACCAACAACATACTGAATGGAACAGATAGCTAATGAACGGTACTGAATTGACTCCGGATCAGAACTAAAGTGAAATGACACTCAAAAAGCAACAAAGAAAACAAACACTTTATACTATCCTTTAATGGTACATATGGAATGATCAATTAGGTCTTATCTTAATTTGGGCTATTTAAATGCCTTTTTAAATTTGATTATACGTTTTGGTTGACAGTTGTGACAATATTTATGAATAAAAATGACCTCCATAATTATGTTAAAATACGGTGCAAAGTATAGATTACAGATGCTTAATTTATTTTATAGCATAACTATGATTTGCTTATGCGGTATATATTTGCGTATGATTAGAAATTTTCAATCTGGTAGAACCAAAGTTTACAAGATTTCTTAAGGGTGGTAAACAATTTTTTTTTCGCCTGCATGGATATTGATAACATTTGTTTAAGGCGTATATCTTGTAGGCATTAACTGTACTTGTTATGATCTTTGTTACTAGATGCATGAATTTTGATTAATTTCTGCAATATAAATATAATTTACTTTGGTAATTTTAAATTAAACGAGTAAGGAAATGTCTTTATACAATTTAACAGAATACTTATATTTTGCTTATGGGGTGACATTTTATATAGTATAATTATGAAAACTTTTATTGTAGGTCCTGACATTGTTTATCATCTTAATTACGTGTTATATTGTTCTTTTTCTTTATCTTTGTGTAATTTTAACCTTTTTTGCTTAGTTTATTTTTAGTAATATATACTTTTGGCGTGGCTCGGTATTAATACATCCCGCCATTTTGTTATTGTGCTATGGTCTTTATTTTATATTTGTATTTATCTATATAGTGTCTATATGTCATTTTGATTTTCTTTGTTGAAATAGTTATTTGTTTTTATAGTGAATGTTGACTGCGGTACCCCAGTTTTTGATAATATAACCTATTTGTTTTGCGCACATTTTGTTGTCAATATAATGGGAGTGAGAGGTTTCGCTAGCTATAAAACCAAGTTAAATCCACCATTTTTTAACATAAGTGAATGCCTGTTCCAATTCAGGTTTTTTTCCATACGTTTGTTGTGTTAAGCTTTTGATTTTGCCATTTGATAAAGGACTTTCCGTTTTGAAATTTCCTTGAAGTTCGGTATTTTTGCTATTTTACTTTTTTATACATCCATTTTTCAGATAATAAGATGGATACCGAGAAAAAAATTCGTTTGGTCAATAAATGGAACAGACCTGATATAGCTGAAAACCACATTTTCAACATGCAGAATAGACAGGACATTGCGTATTTACGGGTAACAACTTTCCTCAATTGACTAATTGTAGTATTGTGATACGCTATTGTTCAACACCAGCAATAATATCTTGACTTATAACAGGACGACTAATTGTCTCATATGCTCTCATTTAATAGTCCAGGATAAATGTTTGAATTAACAAAGACAGAGTATCAAAAGAAATCACTCCAGAACACACAAATACTACTCGGTCTATGGTTGCTCAATGTTTACTTTTTTATGTTTGTCTTTTTTGTTGTTTAGTATTTAGATCATAGTTGTCTCTTCTTGTTCTTTTCCAACTAATAATTTTAACTGACTCCTGTTTTTGTCTTATTTATTCTAAAAAAATAGATATTTACCCGACCAGCATGAATATTCTGTTGAAATCTTTAATTGTTTTACAGATATGATGTGTTAACTTTGAGATAACTTCTCCGGTATATACTACGTTTTTTCTCTTTTGCTCTATATAAAAATAAGAGGAGATGTGATAAAACTGCCAATGAGACATCTTTCCAGCAGAATATAAAATATAAAACTAACTGTTCGATAAGATTAAAGATATGTATACACACAGTTCAGAACCACTGTTAAGGCTTGAAACAATCATTGTTGATGAACTCTTGGTATACAAATTTGAAATAGCCTTCCCTTTTATAAGAGCAATAAAATACATCGAATAATGAACTATTACAATGAATTTAAACAAACAGTAATTATGTTTAAATAATAGGTTTATTGTCTTGCAGGAATCATTGAAAAAGAAAAACAGTGCAGTATCAGAACTCTTTAAAAAATCTTTGGTGGAAAACAGGGTAGAATTTGTAACCCTTCTGTTGAAATACATTCTAGCCCCAGAATGTTATCAACAATTTGTAACAGAAAATCTTTCGTCACTATACAGAGAGGTATTTGAAATAAGAGGCAATAGCAGTCTACCGATGTTCAAAACTTGAAATTTCATTCTGAATATACCAGCCAAAAGTTAAAAAAAACCTAGTGAATTGCATGAACTCAAACCTCGACAGGGTTCCATCCGTCATGGGAATCCAGACTCAGTAAAACATACATCACGATTGGCAAAATGACACAATGACACCAACTTTATTATTCATGCACCTCAACTGTTGGTGGTTTTGTATTTATTGTATTTGTTTTCGAGCACAATTCATGAAAAGTGAATTTTATAAATAAGCATGTAACAATGGTTTTTTTTTCGAGTTTTGAATCTTATTCGCATTAAATTGAATTCTGTAATATATTGATACAAGCAGAATCTATGACAGTTTTAGAAGTATATATATTGGGAATCACATTTGTATTTATACCTTTCATGGAAGGACACACTCCCTGAAATCTAAGATTGACAATTTATCTGGCATAAATTGTTAAGGGGAATTTCGATATGAATGTATTTGAGGCGTAAAGCAGTGGCCCTTTTTAACTCCGTATTTTGCTTGACTCTTTGTGTGTTATTGGAGTATTCAGCTGTATTAATAGAATATGCGATTTTTTTTTATCTAGAATCAAGTCTAAAATACTGTTTATTTGTCAAATAGAAAATTATAACTTTTTGACAATACTGTCTTTTTTGTAGTGTATGGATCCAGAAAAGGAGAGCAGTTGTACTGCAGGGCAGTTCCTACACGAATATTTACAGTCATCAAAAGTTAGGAGAATTTTTATTTCATTAATTTTTTTCTTCAAAAATGTTGATAAAGAGAAAAAAACAAATTTTGAATCCGGTGGATAAAGAGAAGAAGCAAATTGTAAATCAGTTTGGTTTATCCGTCTTGCAAGATATAAATTTAATCTAAATGAGTTTATACCGATACGGGTTTAAGTATTTTTGTAAACATTTAATTGACAAAAACAATGAAAAAATCGCCGTAAATTTGTGACTAGAAATCAATAGCGATCGACTAGGAAAACATTTACATTGTATAAATTGAAATCGTGTAAATGCATAAGCAACCCAACAACATATATAGTGTCACTTGATAACTCAAACAATGGAATTCTAATCAAAACGTAGAGCTTTAAATTGCCTTTAGAAATAGAAGATATCATATTATCCACAGAGGATCAAAGTTCAATGTTTTAGCCAGAACAGCTGACATTACTTAAAAATTATCTTCTCATATATTCTGACAATGATGCTTTATTTGCATGACTAGACTCCATACAGGAGCTTTTCAAGTAAAATAAAACAAGTTTGCATTATCTTATTACTTCATGTACCGATATATTGATCCTTTAACTGATTAATTTGAAAGTTGGTGACTATTTTGATCCCATTTTTCCCATTGGACCGGAGATAAAGAATACCACAAATATACTTACTGACTTTTAAAACGCAACACTAGTTTATTCTTTTTGATTCTCACTTTAAAATATGCAATTCTTGTTTAACAAATTAACAAACATACATTTCATTCATTTTTCCTTTGTTTAAAAAAAGTTCGACAGTTGAATTGACAACGTCATATTTAAGGTAGATGGGGTGTCTAAATTATAATCCATAGAATTTTTTAATAATTTGCCAAAATGTAGTTTATATCATGCTTTTAAAAAAAAAATAATAAAAAGAATGGGTCACGGGGCTTATTTTCACGCTACAGGTTGTGCAAAATTGACAGATTTTGTATGGATTATGCATGGAAAACCCAATTTTCTGCCATAAAACGAAAACTACACCATAGAATTTTGAGATAAAATATGAGAAGATAGCTTTAATAGTATGCTTTCAGATAAGAAAAAGAAAAAATGGGGTCACGGGACCCGTTTTCTTGCTACATAATAAAATAGGTAAATTCCTAACACATTCTATTGTAAAAGTAACTTTATCTGAATTATCTGCCCTTACATTTGAGTTGCCTCCTATTATGTGGCAAAGTTGGAAAAAATAGAATCAAACAAAAGTATTCTGTTTTTTTGTAAAATACAACCATAGATATGATCAAATATGTCATTTTCTATATTGAATTGAAACTTCTTACACATGAATTACCTAATACTCTCAAAATTTGCACCTTTTATTAAAGATCTAGACCGATTGTTTTCTGGTATTTCAAAATCCAAGATGGAGGAAGACACCCTATCTACCTTAATGTTCAAATCTTGTTGTATACACCGAATCCCTGGTTTCCTCTTATTAATGGATATGTCACCGTCAAAGGCAATAACTGCTTTTAGCCAACACCTTAATGATTGACAAAAAAGTCAACCAGTTCTGTTGGGCATGTTTCGAATTCTGTTCTGAACCTTCTGATTTTGTCCTGTACCACCCATTACAGTGTGTTTGTCAATTATGGGTTTAAACTTTAGGGCTTGAAATTTTTTCTGCAGTCGATTCTTTGACCTTTTAGTATATGGGGAACATTTATTGCTTGACTATGTCTGCCTTAGCATTCATCGACTTGACTAGCAGTTGACGTTGCGGCCGTAAACATGTATCGCAAATGACTTTGCGTAATCAAATGTTAATGACGGGGTGTTGTCACTACATTTTGATCTGGTCAAGGGTGGTGGTAAACAAATCTAGTATGCCTTTGCGGTTGTTGTAATGACAGTAAGATGAGTTTCTGACGTGGAATTGTCTAGCAATAGCACGTTTACGTATTTCTGGCTGCAATATTCTTATGTCCTGATTCAGATTTACACTGCTCAGTTTCGACAATATGGAAATGCAACATTTGTTTACTGAATTAAGGGTGGGTAAGAATTTAACAAAATGTTTCACGAAGAAACAAAACTTTAAAAAATCATTCATGGGTTTCAAATATCACTTAAGGAAATTCGTGCGACGTCATTACTTCGGTATGTTAAATACTTCAAGTAAGTCAGGTATTGAATTTTTCTCCACAGTTAGAAGTATGGTAAGCATGAATAGTAGTTATATAAAGATTAATCATGATTTGGTTAAAAAAATCTCCAAAATGTGTGTTGCGTTTCTAAAATCCGTAAGTATACTATACAGTCTGTTTGATGTATTGACTCACATCTAATATTGCAATAAGGGTAGATTCATAACTTTATATTGTGACAACAAATTTTGATCTTATTACATACATCTGAATATGTGACAAATGCATGACAGACCCCTGGAATCCTGGTATCCATGATGAGTTTATTATACAAGACTAACACCATAACATATACATAAATATATATATATATATATATATTCATAATTCATCTAACATGTTGAGATGTATATGATAAAATTAAAACTTAATGTGGCGGCATGGTAAGTAACATTATCATCCTTTACGACAACCAAAACATAGCTGATCGGAAAGGTACACCATCTCTACTTGTCACTTTACCATCTTCTGTGTTACAACCATACATTAATAACCCCATTTCCATTCTCAATTTTATTAAGCCGACTATGAAAAGCATTTTTCGACTAACCAATTTTTATTTCAAAATAGCAATCCATGTGGAAGAGAGGTTACTGGAAAAACGACTGCAGTGACTCAAAATATCTAGACGATATAAATCAAGCTGTTATACGGCTACTTGGTAATAGAGAACTGAAGCCTATTGAAAATAAGGGTAATTTACTCGTTCACAATTACATGTCATACTAAGCATGCTAAGTACATCTTATCTTTAAATCTTGTATAATAAAAGGAACAGCCATATAGTAGATGTACCTGAAAGAAATCTTCTACAAATACCATGTCAAGTATTTAAAAGGTGAAAACATTCCGAGCTTATTTAGCTATATCTATACTTTCCTGTTGGCATAAAATATCCTTGATATGTTCATTTTCTGTCAATTTACTGTCATAAAATGTTGAATTATTCTAAACATTAATTTTTGTCTACCCCAGATATAAATTACCTTAGCTGTATTTTCGGAATTTTCGGTTTTTAATGCTTTTTTATTCGTTTATTATTTGACCTTCCAACTGTTTTGATTGGAGCGCCATTAATGAGTTTCTTGTAGAAGACACGCGTGTCTGGCTTACAAGATTATAAGCACTGTATCTTTGATGGTTTATTATATGTATACTCACCCATGTTACAGAAACTGCAAGCGCTTGTTACGATTGGAACATTTTTTATGGAGTTTGAAACAGCCATAAGAGAGTTTGAACGATGGTCATTTTTTTTGTATTCTTGTCTTTCATTTTTTGCTTAATATGTGCTTTGTTTAAATGCCATTTTGTTTTTCTGTGTTGACATATTTGTGTGTTTTTATAGTGATTAAGATTATAACACAATGTTGACTGTTGTACCCCTATTTTTGACATTTTTACCTATTATGTCTGTTTGCTTTGTTCACACATTGTTGTCAATAGAATAGATTTTTTTGCGACTGTCATACAAGTGAGACGTTTAGCTAGCTATAAAACCAGGTTTAATCCACCATTTTCTACATACGGAAATGCTTGTACCAAGTCAGGAATTTGACAGTTGTTTTCCATTCGTTTGATGTGTTTGAGCTTTTGATTTTGCCATTTGATAAGGGAATTTCCGTTTTGAATTTTCCATGGAGATCGGTATTTTTGTTATTTTACTTTTTGTTAATTTGATCTGTTTGACAGATCGGTGAAATATTTTCTTAAGTGCATATCATTAACAAATGCAAAAGAAGACAGTTAGATTTAAACAATACTCATACCGTTATCAATAAATAATTTAAGTTTGGATGTAACACGTCTTCTGATTGGCTGAAAGTGTTTTGTCTATCAGGTCATAGACATAATTTTGTCATGTGACCATGACGTCATCAACGTTTTTTCATGATTTACTCCTTATAAATGGAATTAAGAATTAAATTATAAGGAATGACTGTAATATTTTTTTTTTGTCTATTCGAAATAACCTAAAAAATGTGATGCACACTTTTGAATAACCCGCTACGCGTGTAATTCAGTGTGCACCACATTTTTTGAGGTTATTTTTTCATAGACAGAAAAAATATTATAGTCATTCCTTAAAACGATAAAGACACAACTTAGGTTAATTACTTGCATGGAAAGATTGTTGCCATGCCTACTCATTCTTTGTTTATTTCGACAGAACGAATATGTACTTTAAAAAGGAGCAATGTTGTTTTATTCCTGAAGTAAAACCACTGAAACATATTTATTATATTGTTACAAATAACGCTTCTACTGAAAAACGCACGGTAATAAAAATAAAGTAAATGTCAGAGGGATGTCGGATAACGTCATTAAAAATGTGACTCTTGAGGTTGGAGAAGTGTAGCAGTGGTTCTCATCATCCAGTTGATATATAGACCCTCTTTATTAGTTGTGCTAGTAGAATACTCATTTGCCTGAGTTTGTAGAGCGATGATCTAATGTTTTGCTGGCATTTATCTTCTATAATTAAAAAAAACTATTTCAAGCAAAAATTATATGTATGGAGAACATGGATATGCCAAGTACTTTCCTTTAAAAAAAACTCAAATCGTCGTTTGGTAAAATATCATCTATATAAAATCACATAATTCACTTTTAGACTAGAGAAAAATGAACAAAACTCTGACCATAATCGTTTGTTGATAGTCTATGCGAATACATACTTGTACGGTTTTGGCCATACTATTGGTCCTTTTTGGTTATATCAGCTGTGAAACGTTAATATGAGGTTTTAGAATAATGAATAGTTAGACCTCAAGCATATCTGAAGAGACATTAATTGTCGAAATGCGAATCATCACATATCGTTTAAAAAAATCTAAACGTACTTGCTGTTAACATATTCATATGCAAAGTTCTGGTGAAATTTGTTATACGGTCTGAGACAAAATAAAACTCATAGTAGTGTGTGATGAAGGATAGGATATTACTTTTATAAATAAGTATTATAGATATAATATTATAGGTATAATGGATCAGCGCTGATTCTTGAAAAAGAAACCATTAGCCCGGAGGGTTTTTCATGAACCAATGCTTATCCATTGTGTCTCTAACTTAAAAAAAGTATTGTTCTGATGTCTTTTCAAAATTAAAGCCTTTTCTTTATAAGAAGGTATTGTAAGTGAGTTTAAATAACCATGTTATCATGTTCAATGATGCATTAATAAATCAAATTAAGTTCACAATTCATTAGTTAGAGAAATACAAATATAACATAACTAGCCTTTCTACCTAAATTTGTAAACATCAACCATTAAAATGTCAGTTCATCCATTTTAGTATTGCTAGGATTTATCACTGCATATTCATTTGTTACAAAACGGAAAATTTAGTATCTTTTGCGCTTGTAAAAATCTTAAGATTATGCGTAACATGGTAAAAATTAGGAATTGATATGATAATTTCATCTCTTTGTGGCTTAGCCTAATACTTTTATTGTTGTTTGTTGGAAGATGCTGCTGATTTTTATCAGAGCAAACTTGTGATTGCCACATGTCTTTATTTTCTTTCAAAGAAACTGGTAATTTTTTAACCTGAAGCAGGTGAGGGGAAGTAAAGGGTGGACTTGAATTTTTTTTGAAAATGAAGGGGATGTTCAATTTTTTAATACTTCAGATGGGAGGGGGCCATCTAAAAACTTTACAAGATTTTAGCAATTCTGTATTTCAAACATGCAAAACTTATAGCTGATTTGATGAATTCTTCATTGTGTTCTCTAAATCAGTATCTGATTATTCAACAGAAGTGTCTAGCACTTGATTCAGATGTCAAATCTATAACAATTGTGTCATATACATGTATATTGTTTGTCGGACATGGATACATGTAATAATCATTATACGGGATAATGGTTTGATGTATTTTAGTTTTTGGAGTTTTTTTTCGAAGGTTTTCGTAATATTATACCCCTTTCCATATCATAAAAACACTATTATATTAGTTGTTTCTTTACATGATTGAGCATGTATTTTAATGGTTCATCATGATATCTAGCAGTCAAGTTTGGGGGGAGGGGATTTTCATGTCTTTGGAAGGGTGTCTTAAAAAAATAAGCGAAATTCAGATGTTTCCTCCCATTCTCCCCCCTCCCCTCCCCCGCCCCCAATGAAATAAAATGACCAGTTCCTTATTGAAACAGATTATAGTTGAAAGGGAGGCAATTCCATGTAAAATTTCATATGTCTTAAGTGCATCTTTGTGCATCAAGTTTAATTTAAGAAATAAAATGTAGTGATTATGTTCATACCCATAGCACTGTCAATCATAACAATAAGGCAATAATAATAGTGTGTATGGTTGTATTTCTCATTGATTGACGATGCCGTAAGATGACGATATATTTTGTCGTGGAAATTGTCTTGTTTTTCCTTTAAATTGCAAATATTTCACAGCAAGCTTTAAGTAATATATAACTGTATATATAAGTTTTGTTTCCATATGTTTGAAACTGCGTGTCAATTTAGTTTAACCCAAATAAATACCCTATTTCTAAACCTGTGTCTTCCAGAGCTTGATTTTCGTAAATATAAGCTTGTGATTACATCGATATTTCAACTTTCCGTAAAATAAGAGTTATCGACCTTTGAAATCATAGCGGCATGTAGTTAGGCTAACATTACACGTCTGTCTTTGAATTAATGCACGTATGCCCACTACTAAATTACTGTATTTGTATTTGTATTAGTAAGTTATTTTTGAAATAAATGATATTCTAACCTCTCATCTGTAGAATATAAAATTAACCTAGATTTTACGCCGAAAAAGATTTCACTAAATTCCGTTGCTGATGTTTGAAATATATGACCGAATTTATTAAATCAAGGTAAAATAGATGACATTAAATTCATTTAAAAATACTAAGACATTTCTTCTCTATAGAAATCACCCACAGGGTCGTGATCAGAAAGTTTTTAAACCCTAAAGTATGTATATAACAAAGAGAATAATACATAATGACGCGTAACAATTTCACATAGATCGTAAAAAAAATCACCTTATTTTGTAAGAGAGGGATAGGGGATGGGAGGGGATGGGGGTACTCAAATATTTACATGACCGTTCAAAATGGTAGTTATCAATCATCTTTGAGTCAGTTCAAACAGAATCTAAAACTGCACAATTGAAGCTGTGATACTGTGAATTAATGTATTGCAAGTCCTTCTAAAAATGGCTTATATATGTAGTGTCCAGTAAGTACAGCGGCAATAAGATACTATTTGAAAGCAGCTGTCATAAATCATCTTAACATATAGTTTAAACCAACCATACACGTTTGCATGACCTGAATATTAACGAAAGAAAAAATAAAAGAAAACCCGATATCATTACAAAAATATCCAAAATAACATAGAAAATAAGAAAAACGAAAAAAATATAGGAAGGGGACAACAAAGAGAAAACAGGGAATCGAACTTAAACTGAAAAAATCTCTACTTCTAACTTGACTTATTCATCTTAACCTCGCGGCTACCAGCTTATACTATACGACTCTCTATTATGTATATATAAAGGTACAAGCCCTGTGTGTCCGTTGTACCGATGTGTATCATATAAGAAAAAGATACTTCGGTAACTGGATAGGCTGACGTCACGGCAATGGTTTAATACCGCTAAGGCACCGATGATACGTGTAGGTTATGGAACTTATCATACATTTTCTTTATTATACTTTTTCAGGGCGCATATTTCCTTTTAAAGCACTATTTATTTGGGCTGTGCTTATGAATCAAAGGGAAATGGCTGAGCTATTTTGGAAAAAGGATAGTGATTTTATATGTTAGTATGATTCTCATATTATATATGTATCGTTAGTGTGGTATGTGTTAGTGTTAAATAATTAACGTCCTAACAATATAAGATAGAATCATACGTCAAAGGCATGTTTATTATCTGTTTATAACTTATGATACAGCCTTTTATTGCACATACATCGTTTTTCTGGACTTAACGGAGCTACATATGTTCATGACCACACGTTTGGAACTTACTTCAAAAGTATAAACTATTAGTAAAATAAAATCTAGTTAAGAACAATAACATAATTTACGAGCTGTAAATTTCCAGCAAAAACATACGATTGAAAGCATGCAAATCTACAGAAACCTCCGTGGAATGTCCGTAAATCTCCGGTAAAATAATAATTGTTATGCGGGCAACATTATATTCGCCCAAACGATTCTACGGGTTGTCTTGAACTTAGAGTGAGGTGTTAACACTATAGTTGTTTACATTGTCACTTTTTGGTTTGTGGTGGATAGTTGTCGCGTTGGCAATAATCTCACGTATCCTTATTGTTATACTGTCGTACACATGTTGTTTTCATATATATGTTACATTTGTTTCTAGACAAAAGTCTATGAAAAGAAATGCCAAATGCTTGTATTCGTACATTCGTAATTTGCATTCCCTTGAAACTTAGTGACCGTGTTATTCAGTGTTACCTATATCCCTCTTTCCGTCTTTCCATTCATTCGAAATACATCAGTTGATAATGCTTTTTTCCGCTGTTTTTTTAATCCAAGAAAAATATTTGTTTAAGTTTCAATTATAATGATAACTTTATGGACTCATTTCATTAGTCTCCCTTCTAATCATGTAGGTTTAAACTGGACTGTTGTCTGACATGCTTTATAGTTTGGATCAAGATTATATTGTATTTAATACTCTTAAATGAATTAAAATGTGGGTTCCAAAGATTCAAATAGAAAACATGATAGCTTAAATACATGTTATTTAGGTGCTGCGTTGTATGCAAGTTCATTGGCCAAGAAGCTAGCAGAGAGTGCTTGTTCAGAAGAAAATATGGAATTGATAACATCTTTTGCAGAGAATTCCAAGTAAGTGTAAAATGCATGTATTAATACAAATACATACTTTTGAAAGATTTAAAAACCTTTTCAGATGTAGTATTGCAAAGAAAAAGGTCTGTCAATAAAAGTATAAATATAATCTAAACATCAATTTTCGCTCTTTGAATATAGTATTGGTAATTCCTTTAAAGGACTTGATAGGTTAATGCATGCCGATAATTTATATGTGCTGTGTCAGAATTACATTGGCACCTATATCGATTAATATATTAAAAGAACAGCGTGACACTAGTATATACGTAGACGTTTATGGCGCATGTTACTTGTCCAATTATTTGCCTAAAAAATGTCTGCACATTTTGTTAGCAGGAATACTTGTTATGCCGTATGAAAATAGGATTCGGGGAATACATATAGCTACGATTTAGCGAAGACACTTTAAAATGTCGATGACTTGTTATGTGTTTTCTTCCAACATAAACGAATGTAAATCATTGATATCAACTACCATTGTTAAAAAAAGATACAGATGTAAATCAAACATGTACTGAAAAATGAAAACAGCACCTTATAAATTTCGTGCTTCCGGATTGCTTTTCTGGATTTACCTTCATCAGGCACTCCCAAACCTAAACATAAGGAAATCCAGAAATGCATAAACACGTAGCCACGTTAGGAGCTATATGAAGGGAAATATCAAACCTATTTTACAGATATTATGAAACGCTTGCATACAATGTGATGACAGAACTGTATTGCAAAGATAAATCCAAAGCAAGACAACTTTTGGTAAAAAAAGTTGAAAGATATGGTTGTGCAACAATATTTGAATTAACTGAACACAACAACCTAATGAAGTTTATTGGACACACTGCATGCCAAACTAAGTTGAATATTATTTGGAAGGGACAAATTGCAACTTATACTTCACACCTGAAGGTATTTTCAAATATCTCTTATAATAGAGTTGACTAAATAAATCTTTTCCAAAACCACGAAATCACGTTTCCACGAAAATACGAGTTTGTCTCAATCCACGAAAACTAATACCCACGAAAATATATGAATCCAAAGTAACCAGTTTCTATGAGCTCTTCTAGTCGAGTACTTTTTTGTTCAGCTGGAAGAGTGGCAATTTACTGGGCAGGGGGTCCAGGATCGAACCACAGCCTGAACAGCGATTCTTTGGAAGACAATTTTGCTCTACTGTTATATTTGGCACCCAAAATGGCGGTCCCTAGTGTACATGTTTAAAGTTGTGCTGGAAAAAGGTGTTGTGATAAATTGAAACAAAAATGAAAAAAAAAAGATTCTGGTGAAGAAGCTTTTATTATCTAGCGAGTCTTGTCTAATATAAATTGATTTATAAATTGATATTCAAACAAGAGGACACGTTTTAACTGAAGGATAATGTGACCTTTTCTTCGTTATCAAAGTTATCAAAATCATGAAAATTATCAAAATGCACATCAGATATGTATGCTACGAGTACAAATTTCGATTCAATGCATAGATTTTTTTTATTGGTAGAGAATGCAAAAATTAGGTGTTTGAAAAAATTAATGTTTTTTAAATATAATTCTATGGTAATTAAGTATTTGTTCACTTCTTTTATAAAAAAAAGTGCGATGGAGTAAATGCAAATGAGACAAAAACCTTCCAAAAAAAAAGGTCAGAGTCAATATACGATAATTAAGGATAAACAAGCATCTATACTGTATTAACATAATATTCTGTATGAGCTTAATCATTAAAAGGCACTGTCGAGGTTCCATTGTTGTAGATACAACTACATCCACGATCGAGGTTCCTTTTTTTAAAAATATGACAGTAAAATGATAGTTATATTGATGTTTCTACAGTGACGAGGAATTTGTCCTCTCACGTGATTAAAGGCAACAGCAGTTTGCCAATGCTAAAATCTCATAAATCCATTACGAAGATGCAAATCAAGGTAAAAGCAAAAACTGAGGTCGGCGTTTTCTTCTTTAGAAGGCAAGTATCTGACATTCTAATAAATTCCATCAATCAAAATCATATACGAAGTGTAGAAAGACAAGATCTTGAGCCATTTTAATAATAAATTTATACACATAGTTTAGATGCCTAAAAAAAATGAACACTATTATTGTACCTAATATATAATTATCATATGCTTTGCCGTCTGTTTTGACAGTCATGATATGTGTTGATAGGGAATTAATCACTATCTTCCCTATGCAGAGCTGACGGGATCGGTTGCGGTCATTCTTGTAGATTTAATTTGATAGTATTGGCCGTAATGTAATCATACACCGTGAAGATAGCATTGGGCCTTCTTAATTTAGAAGAACTGTATGTTGGCCTTGTTACATATATGTGTCAGAATAAAATAAATTCAAAATCAATGTGTTTAGTAGCCTATGTGACAAATGGTAGGAAATAGAAAATAACGAATCATTATAATACAGTATTGCCATTTTATTTCAAAACCCGACGATTTCCTTTACAGTTTCAGTATTTCTTGCATGAAAAGTAACCTAGCACATTGCCAGTACATGTTATATGAAAGATAAATGTGTAAACAAATAATCTTATCAAACCAATTCTTGGAACCTGATTATGAATTGATCTATCAATCTTTTTAACAAGATGATCAAGCCACTTGTGATAACTTTGTTTTAAGATAGCTTTCAACCAAATTTGGAACGGACCTCTAATCAGAAATATAAAACAACAGAAATATAATATTTATTGTATTCAGATTTGGGGAAATCATGGCATTAATCTCACACAAGCACTTATTGTACGTGTACATTCTTTGAGTCTTTCACAAAGGTATGCAGTTTTGATGCAAGAAAAACATACGTTATTTTGCGTTCGAATTTCTTTCCTTGATTACGTGTCATCAAGAGGGATCAATGCTATTACAGTGCATGATTATATTGGGTTCAATACTATCAAATTGGCATTCGAGAAAAACTGTAACACGATTGTTATGGTTGGAAATACATGTTTTGCAAATAGACATTTTCGGAGTTATATATTTGTTGATTTATTTTCAATGGTTTATGTCAAATATTATGTTATTGACAAAAAAAAAACGTTTTAATGGGGCATATTGTGTTTTAACTGATTCTGATTTTTCTTGTTTTGAGTTGATGTAATATAATTTTCAAATTTCAACAAACAATTCCCTTTCTGGGAAATATTTTTCGAATGAATACACAACTGATTGTGTATCTTCTCCTTTATCTTAAATCATTGTGGAAGAAATAAAGGAAATGGGCTTACATGTACCTATAGTAATTTTTTGGTATTACTTTTTTGAAGGTAATTTTTGGCGCTTTCCTACCTTTTTTGATACAAGGCATGATGATTCAAGGCGAAAAAGAAAAGATATCTACACATGAGACACCACACACCCGGCATGCCTTGCACTCTGGCAAAAGTTTGCCAAATGGTATATTCTACCCGTCGACAAAACCTGGATCTGAATATCTTGCAGAGCAACATCAATCAAAACGGGCAGAAAACTGGAATGGTATTGCATTTCATCAAAGAATAAGAAATATTTATTACTTTTACAACGCACCTGCAACCAAATTCATTTTTAATGTAGTAAGTGTTATTCCCTTTCTATATAGTAAAAGACAATTTATCTCAAATGTCACTTAAAATAAGCCAAGTCTTCACAAAATGTTTTCAACTGACAAGAACGTGTAGAATTGTATATATTAAACATGTCAAATGAGGCTTACCATGGTAGTTGAATATTGATTATGATTTGGTCAATTATTATCAGATTCAAACTACACTACTGAACTTTTATAACACTTTGTTTTGTAAATTAATGGTACTACAAACACAAAGTAAAATCGTGAGCATATGGTCTAAACATTAGACATGTACCTATACAACACTACAGCGAAATTTTGAACTTGTCAATTATCAGCTATTCAAAGATTAAGTCCATCAAAATATAAAACGTCACTACAGACACCATCTTCGCTAGCCAAGGGTAACGATCCACTCCCCTCCTCTCCACCCTTGGCAGATTGAGCCAACATTTGTGATAACAATGTTGCGCCGTCTATCGGTAAAAACCGTTGATTAAAGTCACGCCCATTCCGAATAATTTATTCTTGACCAATGGTAGCACTTGAACCCTCTTCAGTGTGGAGGTGAAAACACGGTAGCGCCTAGAGTCTACAAACTTGGTGAAGCAGGAAACGAAAATATACCCTGACATTCCAACATTTGTGCATGAAACATACACAGGAACTTCTCATAGATGAATAAAAACATTTAAGTTGTCACAAAATATCGTTGTATGTTTAGGGATGTAAAGACTTGTTGCACAATCAGCACGTGGTATTTGTTTACTTACATTTTCTAGATTAACACATGATCATGTTATAGGTGCTTTTTGATTGGATGCAGCCAGTTACGACTGCAACCAATGAAAAGCATTACCTTGTGTCTCCGAAATTCTATCTCAATCCGCCAAGGGTGGAGAAGAGGGGAATGGATCGTAACCCTTGGCTAGCGAAGATGTACAGACACGGGCTTACTGAACGAGTAAGAAAAAATACACGATGTAAGGAGGGACCAAGGGAACAGCACTGTGAAAAGGAAAAGTATCAAATAGAGAATGAAAAGTCATCGTCTTTTTGCTGTACTTCTTGACTTTTAAATGTTTGGGGTTGAGCGTACCTGATGAAGATATAACCAGAAAAGCGCTACTGACATACGAAATTAACTAAGTGTTCTTTTAATTTAGTAAATAGTTTCCTGTGTACAACTGAAATATCCAAATCCAGAAAAAGGAGATTTATTGATATTCATTTAATATTATTTTTTAGTGATTTCCTGGTACACATTGCAGCAGTAAAGCGGATTTAGAGAATTATTAAATTTTGGGTACTATCTGGGACCATCAGACTTTAGAGCACAGTCCATCAAAACATGGGAATTCCCATCCCAGACATTGGGCGGCAACGTTATGTCTCGAAATCGTAATAGATCCATTGTATTTGATGTGTTTGAGCTTTTGATTTTGACATTTGATAAGTGACTTTCCGTTTTAAATTTTCCTTGGAGTTTGGTATATTTGTTTATGTTTTTGTTTTTTGTAAAGCTGGTAAATAATCACCATTCGTTTCTTTGTACATTTTTCTCCATGAATGTGTACTTTTCATTCCTCGATTTTCCCCTTGCGCTTTATTTAGTTGGAATTCTACCGAATTGTAAATTTAAATCCAAATGCCTTGTAATTATAATCAGATGGTCAGTCTTCTAAATTATTACTAGTAATCTGCTTTCTGTTTTGCATGCCGTTATTTTCCAAACATTTGCCTTATGATATTTTTTATATTTGTTTTCGAGAAGGACTAATTAGAAATAAATTATCGAATAATGTATATGGTAAGTAAATTTTATTTCTAGATCATGTACATGTGCACTATCAAACATCAGATATACAAATTATTTCACAAATATATTAAAACTTAAATAGCTTTTGAATGACAAGGAAAATATTGAGAATGCATATATTGATTTGATAGGACTTTTCACTGTATGATATTACATGATGCATTTCTATATTCAGCTGGCATATACAGCATTCTTGGTGGTTTTCTGCTTGTTTGTGCTTACAGACTTACATTCAATGCCTGAGGGTGGCATATCAAATTATGAATATGTCACATGGGGTTGGGCAGCATCAATGATGACAGAAGAACTTAGACAGGTAAAATAACTTATTTACATGGAACTCCAATTTTTGGTATCTACTTCCCCATTTGTTAATCTTATTTTACCCCACGCTATGGACTAGCTGTTTTTAGGGATAATTATTTTGACCCGCTCGTCAGTCAGTCAGTCTGTCAGTGTATCAGACAGGGATTTTTGTTTCCGCATGCTACCTCAAATAGATTATAGCGGATTGAAACCTTACTTAGACATATGGTCACATATAGTCAGAGGAAAGTCTCTATTGATTCTAGGTCACCATGTCATACGTCAAGGTCACAGTTACTGCAAATATACGATGAAATTTGTGCACAAAATTTGTTTCCGGATCCCAAATTGAATATTGTATATGGGATTGCAAACCTTACTCTGATATAAGATCATACATAATAATTGTCTGATTCTATTGAATTTAAGGTTAAAACCACAAAAATAGACTTTAATTTTTTCACAAAAGCTTTTCTAGACGCAAAATCAAATACTAGGATTCATGGTCACATATATAATGAGAAGAGAATCCCTCTTAATTTGTATGTAAGGTCATTGTCGACGTTTCTAAAATAAGAACAACATTTGTGCAGAAAGGTTGTTTCCGGATATTTGATCAGATCTTACTTGAACATATAGTCACATATAATGAGGGGAAGAATCCTATTGTTTTTGAGGGAACTACATTTTTGTAAGTTCAAAGTCAAAGTTACTACAAATAGAAAGTTTGTCTAGAACGCCAAAGCAACTACAACATATATGACTTTAACCTCTCTTGGATATATGATCACATATAATAAGATGAAGACCGGTTGTAATTTTGATGTCACTTGGTCTAAGGGCAAGGTCAGTGTTTATTAAAAACAGATTTTGTAAGTTGATATTAGTCTACACTCATTGCAGAAATGACAAACAGAGAAAAAAAACTATACATTCGGATCTTTTTTTTCCTTTTTAATGGGGAAATGGGGTATGTGAGTTTGCTCACGAAAAGAGAGGCGAAAGATATCAAAGAAATATTAAACTGATAAGTCGAAAACAAACCGACAAAGCCATGGCAAACACGAAAAACGACAAAATAACAAACAGTCTACAGAACACAACAAATAAAAAAAAAGACTGAGAAAACCAACTACAACACAAACATGACAAAGGCTTGTTAATTCAGAACTATCCTGACAGCGCTTAGAGTTAAAAACACTTTTTACTTGCACTTGTAACAGTTCCACTTTCTATAAATTTTGATAACATCGTTTTATAGTTTATAATTCAAAAGTAATGATTTGACCAAACAGTAAAACAAAAACACGTTTTCGTATATGAACAAGTATATAATATTATCTATTAATCAATATTTAAAGTGCTACGGGTAAGAAAGAGAAAAACTTAATTCTGTTTACAAAAGTTAAGAATTGAATAATTCGAATCAATCTTAACAGTTGATGAACTATGGGTGTTTGGACGCAATTAAGTCCCTATTTAGTATATAATTATCTCAGGACATTTTTGTTATGTGTGTTAAAGAAAATACAGTTGTAAAAATATATCTTTAAACGACAATTTATTCCTTGACGGCATTCTTTTTTGACTCATATAAATGAAGGAAGATGTAGTGTAAACGTCAATGAAAATCCAACAAACGACACAAATAGCCAAAAGGCATCAGGAGGCAAGATACAGTGTCCAAAAATAGACATATAAATATAATCTATTGCACAGACCATCAGTGCCCTAATATCGTATAACTTAAATTCCCATATCAAATTTACTTTCCGTGTATATAACATATTTATCCACTGATGGACTGTATAATATTTGTATCCTACCAACAATCGGATACTTTTGGAAAACATGATTATATATTACTAATTTTGAATAGTGATTCCTTCTTTTACCAGGCAATGTCAATAACCATAAATCTTGTACACACATATATATTTTTGATATACACGGTCAGCACGTGACATCGCACAACTAATTGATTTCTTTGAAATCTATATAAGGGGGTATATAACGTGTTCCAGGCATTTCTTATGTAGAAAACGGTGGATTAAACATGGTTTTATAGCTAGCTAAACCTCTCACTTGTATGAGTGTAAAACATAAGCCATGATTTACAAATTTGAATTGCATTGAGTGTTTGAAAAATAAGGAGATGTGATATGATTGCCAATGAGACGACTAACCACCAGAGTTCAAAGGAAGTAAATGTAAGGAATTATAGACAACCGTACTACTCTACTTTCAACAATGAAAAAGTCATATCGTATAGTCGGCTATTAAAGTGAAAATGTGAAACAATTCAAAGGAGAAAAATGAACTGCCTAATTTATAACAAAATAATTTACAAAAGCAAATACGACAGAAATGAACCAACGACTACCACTGAACTACATGCTGCTGTCTTGGGACAGCACATAAAGAATATGGCGGGGTTTAACCTGTTTGTGAGCGATTAACCCACACCCCCAATCTGGGACAGTATTGTAACAGCGGAACATAAGAACAAACTGTAAAAAAACGATAGAAATTGGCTCAACTCAAAAGATCGGTGCAAGGTACAAAAACAACTAAAATAAAAAATGTAGACACATAGCACCGAAATACAATGTAAGATTGATTACAGTTACTGAAAGCCAATTTAAAGCTAATTACAACTAGTAAATAAATAATGTTATCCTAGACTAATGTATCATTACACTTCCGACGGATGTAGTGTAAAGACGTCATAAAAGTTTTAGGATTTAATTTTATACGACAGACGCGTTGCGTTGAGTTTCGTCTTCAAAAGATTCATAAATGACGCTCGATTAAAAAAAGTTCCAATGCCAAATCAAGTACGAAGTCGAAGAGCAATGAGGACCCTACATTCCGAAATGTTTTGCCAAATACAGCTATGGTTATGCAATCTTTACTATTTCGAACAGTTCAATATAATTTTTTTTTAGAAGACAAATACTTTAAAACGTTTTATTCTCATCATATCTATGTTGATTTTTAAACATAGTTCACGCTTTGACACAGTGAGAAAGACACATTTTAAATATATAAAATATAAATATATATCTAGAATTAGACAAGAAGAAATTTTAATATTGACCTAGCTTCTATCTTACTCTCACAAATTGTACCGTTCAAACAAGTTTTTAATTAATTGGCAATTGCAGAAGACATAACAAGTAATGCAGAAGGTTTAATTAAGTACGTTTTAATTAAAAAAAAATAAAAAAGAAAGAATGACAAATTTGAAAAAAAATATATATTTAGACACAATCATAAGAATTGCTAGAGCAAATTGTCGTCTTAATGAAGCTTTTTTAGAATAAGATATGAAAAAAAACAAGAATTTTATGGCTTTTGTTTTTAAACAAAAGGAATTCGAACATATTGTTATAAATGATACCTTGCAGAAAATTATTGAAATGATTTATACCGTGTACATTTAAAAACAAAATACTGTACAATATGACAAAATATAGAATGAAGCATGTCAGAAAGTATATTTTGTTTGCTCTTTAGAAAGCGTAATTAACGACAGGAAACTAATTTTTCAGGCTTTGGTTATGTCAAAAGCACCACTGAGATATGTGACATGGTTCAATTTTTGGACAGTTTACGAGGGTATCATGTTTTGTCTGTTTATGGCATCTGTTCTCCTTCGATTAACCTTGTCAGAGGGTGATTTTAGTTATGCACGTGGGATGTATGCATTAACACTTGGATTGTACATTGTGAACATCATGCAGTTTTTTCTTGTTTCAAAGACAATTGGTCCAAAGGTTATCATGTTGGGGAAATTGGTGAGTAGTATTTTTTATTTCTTTATGTTCCTGTCATATTATGTATGACCACATGACTCTTTCCTTACATTAATAAAGTATGGGCCCATATGTATCTCGATAAATCAATGTTTTATCCCCCGCCGCAACGCGGAGAAGGGGGCATAGACATATCATACCATCTAGTCTTTTAAGTGCACCAACGTCTACATTTCCTGTTGGATTTTTATGAATTTAATATCAAAGGTTGATATACAAACTGCTTCAGTTGAAAATCATTGCCAAGATGTTTTCTGTTGAAAAGTATTTAAAAATAGAATTCAAAGCTACTAAGCATTACTGACAAACTATTGTAATGCGTTGCTTTATTGCAGATTACATTCAAGTACAATTAACAACAGAATGTCTTAAAACCCACTGAAGCAACTACAATTAAAATTAAGATGGTTGGGAAATATGAACATTTTCTTTATTACACATAGATTCAGATTTAACCCGCACAGGAATTAAACTTGGGAAGCAGAAATTTGTTTTATCAAAACATAATACGTAATAGATTCGGTGCTTCTGAAGCGCTATTCTGGGTTTACTTTTGTCAGGACACTCAAAACTAAAAAGAATATAAAAGCGAAGTATCTTCAAGTACTTGATTTATAAATCCGTGCTGTGTGCCATATTCATTATTGTTTTTATAAAAAATCAGGCCGTCGGATTTAAATTTCAAATTGTTTCATATCTTATCTCCTTTTATACCTTAGCATACTGTATTTCGCGTTGCTGAAAGTCTTTCATTAACCTAAGGTTGTAGATAAACTCATCATGTATTCAAGGCTTAATATTTTGTAAAAACAAAACACTATAGTAAACCGCTTTGAAAATCCCCAAACAAACAAATAAACAAACACAATTTGTTGATTATATTAGTACCGAATACATACATAATACATTTTAAATATATTTAGCCAAATTTTGTCTCTTTCAGATCTATGACATCATTTTCTTTGTGTTGCTATTTGCCGTGTTTGTATTTAGCTTTGGTGTCTTTTACCATGCAAACATGTACCCGAACAACGTCTACCTTGACAACGGTAACATGACCAAAAGAAATGCATATGGACTTTTCAAAAATATCATATATATGCCATACTGGCAGTTATATGGGGAACTGAATTTAGACATCTATGAAGGTAATGCTTTGATGTTTTTACACATTAACTGCTTCCGTTTATAATTAATTTGTGACCTTACAATAATTACATTAGATGCAAATTCTGAACAGGAAGGACTGATTTTTGCACAGTTGTGTCAGATAATGATTAAGCTTCTAAAATTGGATTTAAATTAAACCTATATTTCAAAATACCTATCATAATAACATGCCAAAAAATAAATTTGTGACTTTTTTAGCAACATTAAATCTATATCACATAAAACAGATAATTGGATCACCAAAAAGAATGGAGAGTAGAACAGACAACAGTATTACATTATGTAAATATTTTTTCTAGGCTTTTGATTCAATTATATTATAAGAATATACAATCTAAGAGAAAATGTATAGTTTTGGGAAAATAAACTAAAACAAAAACATGTTAAACCAGATGATAGTTTATTTTAGGAACATTACAGAATTTCATCGATTACCTTCTGTTAGTTAGAACTGGAAATTAATTGGATGATTTGGTGCGTCGTGAACTCACAGCTACTATTTGCAAAGTTCAGGCACTGATCCCAATTATAATCGCCTTGAGAGAACTATCCAATAAATATAGGCGCAAACTGTTTATTAAAATTAGAGATAATTAGAAAACTTTTTATTCCTTTTTATAACCGTTTGTGGTTATTGCCGGGTTCAAAAGCATCCCCTCACCAATAAAAAAAACTGGCCGTCATGATATAGTTAAGATGGTGCATAACACTACAGGGAGATAACTCTATAAAAATCAGCTGAACGTTTTAATCACATTCTATTGTTAAGGAAATAGTAAGCTTCTCAATGATCATATTAGTGTTTGCCAAACTGCTATATATCCAATGAAATTTTTCCGATAAAGTGTGTGGTTCAAGTTTTTTGAAATTTTTATATTTTTGTCAAAGGGTCAAAGTAAATATTTTGTCAAAATTTTATGAAAATTAAACGAGCCAAATTAATTTTAGTCAAGGTGTTTGGTACCACCATAATAGTGCTGAAAGCGGCGTTAACACCAACAATCAATCAATCATATTCACTTTCCTTCACAAAACAACGTAAATCATTAGTTTCTTTTAATAATTGATTGATTGTTGGTTGCTTCACGTTCAATGGCAAATTATCAAGCCAGTTCATTTTTTTTCTGATGTTTTTCTTAAATATGTCTTAAATCATAATAGGAAACAGAGTTGTAGAGTTGTAGCAATTTATTTCTATGTCATTGTCATTATTTTTTAGTATTTGTTTATTCAACTTATTGTTTGTAACAGTTGTATGAATTTATCGTTAACATATATTATTCATTTGACATAAATTAAGAATTAAAGGTAGTCGTAGTAAGATTTTTGTGATAAATGGTTTGATAGAATATTTCCTATAGACGAAAAGAAAAAGCATCCAGCAGAATTCTTAAATCTAAATTTCAGACACAATGATGATATACGTTACTTTATAACTAAGTTAGTACTTACTTATTTCCTCCCTGTGAATGTTTGTCATGGATATCAGAGGTACAAGACTAATGTATTCATGTCTATTAATTTCTCGATGAAATCAATGCTGATGGACAACTGAAAACTCGGATCTATGACCAACCCGGTGATTTCCGTTTTCCTATCGTCGACCTTATTTCGTTAATGATAAAATACTATCTTTCCAATTTTATGGCTTTACGTCTCTTAGTTGAAAAGATATAATTGAGATTGTTCTTACTAAATCAACAGAGGTATATATTTAGTAAAAAAAAACAAACACTTTTCATACAAGGTTATGAAAAGTTAAGATTTGAAATTATTACTTCATAAATTCTTTGGCCGTCTTCATGAATTGGTAGATTGTTACGGAGTCTCAGTGTTTGCATACGCTCGCAACATTCTACTGCCATGGTCGTAGATACCCCGCTACCATTGATTAACATTTATCCAGTTCAAGTGAACTTAAGTGACATGCGTAGTGCGTAGCATTTGTTGATTCCAGATCAAATCTTCTTTGTTATTCTACAATGCACTCATTAGCACATATCTAACTCAAGCAGATGCAAATTGTCAGCGATTGCATATATGAATAAGCAATGCATACATTGGTGCACCAAATACCTTGAAAGATATGAAAAATGATAGAGTAACTTATAAACCGGGGCAAATAACGGTCATTTTTAATTGCTTGTGAAGTTACCTGCAAGATAATGTTTTCTAGTTTCACACTTGCAATAAGGAGATAATTGTACAAAAGGCTTAAGATCAATGTTTTCCTTCACCTTTGTGAAATCAATCGAATAACAAAATCCCAATTTAAACAATAAGTATTTAGAGTAGTTCTTACAGACACTAATAAGTCATTATTTTCAATTATTGATGTGTTTTGCAAATGTCAAATATAATGTATTTACAAATTCAGTTCTATGTTCTGATTAAAAGGGGATAAAAAAGAGGAAAAAGATGGAAGTGGCCCAGAAGTCAGTGAGATAAATCTAGTGTTATTAGCTATTTATATGGTATTGACGCAAACTATTCTCATCAATTTTCTTATAGCAATGTTTTCGTAAGTATTTGATTATAAAAAAAAACAAGATACATATAAAAAGACAAATCGTTCGAAAACAATGCGTACACAATTCAAAAGCAAATTAATAAAGATATAAAAATCAGATGTTGTATGATTGCAAATGTGACAAGAGAGAGGCGGAAGATACAAACTCAAACGTCGTAGAAAAACTGACAACTCATTATAAAAAACGAAAAATAAAAAAAGTCTACCAGAGACCAAATGACGCGGATATATGCAGCTTGTTTGTGTTTGTCTCTTCAACCTACCAGTGACGAAAGTTTTAGACGGCATGGGATATTGTCAATTCTAAAAGTGGTATAACTCCTTATTTTCAATTTCCAGTTGAAGTAAGATTAGCTTTATTTTGTATTGGACAGGCCGATAATGCTATCTGCCACGTTATTGTTACGTGACTATGTAATCGACTTTTGCAATAGTGACCATATGTTTTTATTCTGTTATAACTAAGACTGGCAAATTTCTTGTCACAGTTTTTACTCTACTGTTCTAAGGCTTTGTGATTTTTATAGACTCTAACTTTTTGAAAGCTTTTCAAACTTATGGTATCAAGTGAACTAGATGAAGACATTTCTGGAAGCACGTGTTGGAAGGACAACGTGTGCATCAGGAACATAACCCAATAATAAATCCAATTTTCATTCTCAATCAACAACTGTCTAGTGTGTCCCAAGTTGCAACAAATAAAGCGTTGTTTTAAAGATTTTTTTAAGTTTCAAATAATGTTTTGAATTCACCTATGCTGACCTATCGGAGTATGTATGATTCATTTTACCAATGCAACAGTGGGATCATCATGCAATATAAATGGTTCAAATTTATATGGCATCAAGATGATAATTCATCACTCATTAGTTAAAAAACTAACCAATGACAAAACTAGGAAGCCACGATAAGGCCTAATTCAGTTTTTTATATTTCCAATGCAAATTCCGGTATAAAATGGTCGATTAATTATTAAAAAAAAAGACAAGAAACTTGGCATATCATTAAGATAATGGCGCTGTGAACCTCACCTCTTATGTGCGTGGGTTTAAAATCAAGGGATTTGAAAAGTAAAATAAAAGAAATAGATTTGTCAGTACTATGTTTTGTACAGACACTCGTAAAGTTTACATACCTACAAGTTCAAAGTAACTAAAAATGTATTTTAATTTTGTTTATATTAGATTAATGCTATATCAAAAAAATTTGAGAGAAAAACAAATATATATATATTGTATATGTTTTCCTTTAAATCGTACCCGCATATCTTTTTAGTCTTTGCGTGAAAAATTTGAAACACACTTTTGATGTATATTATATATATTTTTTTAAAAGAATTTTTTTTTTAAACCAGCAGCTTTCAAACTACCATGTTCAACTGATCAATAGCACTAATTGACAGTTAGATTCGTATTGTAATACTCCCATAAATAAACCATTACATGATTATCTCTTTTTTCTCCTGTTAAGCTAAATGTTGCCGCATAGTTTAGAGTTCGTCCATTTTTTCATTCATATTATGAAAGTTCAGAAATGAAAGGTCCAATAGAAATTTTATTTATAAATGGAGATACATTTAGTGTCTAGCAAAATAAAAGTGAACTTCAGAGATGGGTAGAAAATTCATTGGTATAAGGTAATCGGTAAGAATGAATTTTGGAAGCACAACAGTTCTAATCAAAGAAGATTTCTTTCTTTTTTTTTGTCTATTTTCATATAGTTAAATACTTGCATCGTTAGAAACCGCAGTTTATATTTTGTGGCAAAGTCCATTTGTTCACTGAATATATCTTTTCATCAACGTCCTAAACTACTCTCAAATCAAAAGTGTCAGCATTTTAACAATTTCACAAAAAAATAATATGCTTTTCTGAACCAATCTTGTTTTGTTTATTATTATTTTGACAGGCACACATTTAATAAGTTTCAAGAGAACAATGAACTTGTTTGGAAATTTCACAGATTTTCTCTTGTCCAAGAGTATTATGACAGATGTCTGTTGGTGCCACCACTAATAATCATAAACCACATAAAGAGGGCTTCCTTTTATATCTTGCACAAATGTTGTAACAGTAAAACAAATCAAGTAAATGTTTTCAGTAAGTATATATTTTTGACTGTATTTTGCGTATATGAACATAATAAAGTAAATATTGTTTTGTTTTCTCGTTTTCTCGTTTTTCAAAGGATCAACTGTGGATTCATTTTTGTTCATGTGTGAGCAAATAAATTTTTTCTCCATAGGCTGCTATATTTTCATCCTTTCTCCGTCCATCTTTTTTGATTTCATAACTTTTAGTCTACATCAGAAATATAAAAATCGTGGAACATTGAAAACAAATAAAATTTTTAGAAATTAGATTTGTATCTAGGACATCAATGAAGTCTCGTATGTCATACCATATGCACATGCCAATAATCTTTCTCAACACTTTACAAGGTCACACATGGAATGCAAATGTTGTTGTACTTCGTTGGTAAAGGTAATGCACGAATTTAAATGTTCAACGAAGTACACATTTTCCATAGGCTTGAATGCAGATTTTGCCAAAACCACAAAATCAATATCGCGAAAATGCAATTTTTTCTTCAATCCACGAAAGTAAAAGAATCCGCAGTATAATGTTTGTCCGCATCATTATTTCAAAATAGATGGGTCAGCGAAGAAATTAAGAAAGAAAACGCATCCACTTCCTTACGATATACGGTATCTAATTGAAATGAATATCTAAACCTTAGTAGGTAACAAAAAAGCTATTAAATCACGAGTTCCAAGTGGCAATTTGAAATCAGCCCTTCGAAAATTTTACGGATGACATGATGGTCACATCACGTTAGTTGAGCGCTATGGAATATCTGTTTCACAGATGATGACGGATCATAAACCCGTCCTCTTTTCCTCGAATTAGAAATATCACCGTATGTGTTCTTACGTGCGCAACACGACGGGTTGAACTGGATATGCTTACCCTTCCATGACACCTGATATCACCTCCGGCTTTTGGTGGGGTTCGTGTTGCTCAGTCTAAAGATTTGGTATGTTGTATTTTGTGTACTTTTTGTCGTCTTTTGGTAGTTTTTTAATTTTTCGCCATGCCATTATCAGTTTGTTTGAGACTTATGAGTTTGAATATCCCTTTGGTATCTTTCGCCTCTCTTTTAAACACCTTCAATTATATCTTTAAATACTAATAAACCTAATACGAAATATGAGATATGCAATTTAGAAATGTATATGGATGTACAAATAGTGCAGTTGTATAATCAAAAGGCAAATCATTAAGCTTATATAATAACAATCCCTCGCAAAATATTGTCCATGCATCGTCAATATGCAAATTAAAGAACTGATACACCTGATGTGATGTTAAGGAACTATAAACAACTGGCATACAAGTGGGAGGTTAAGCTAACTTTATACATAGGTTTGACCCACCATTTTCTTCGGAAAATGCCTTTACCAAATCAGGAATATGACAGTTGTTTTCACTTGTTCCGTTGATTGTAAGCGTTTGATTTTGTCAGTTTTTATGGACTTCCCCTTTTTGAATTTGCCTTGGAGTTCAGTATGTTTGTTATACTTTTTGTCTATACAAGTAAGGAACCTCAGCGGGGTTTGCATGCTATGTCAAAACTTTTTTTGTCAGTTAGGGAATTTGGTATTGATGGGATATCTTTGATAGCCTTTAATGAACAAGTTCACAACTTTTCGAGATAATATGTACTTGGATACCTGTTTGCTGTTGAAATCTTTCAAGTTGATTTATTGTTGGCTTCTGACTCATTGTGTTGTGTTGTTGGTATATCTTTGACGTAAAGCCCAAATTTAATTTTATTCGTAATTTGAATACATTTGGATCGGAACGTTGTTATGAAAAGTCAATGGCTATTTTCAATTAAATAATATTCACATTTTGGCCTTCATTATTCAAACTTTTAATGCACTTTGATAACCTTATGCAAATATACATTTACAGAATGCAATACTCAAGTCATCTTGCTGGAAACAAAATCTTTAACAATTTTAAATGAACAATATATTTATCTTCCAACTTGTCTTTATTTTCCTTTTCGTAACCAGGTATCTTTGAGTACATATATATAAATCGTCCAAACAACGTTAGATCTGACAATTATGCTACAACGTAGGATTGTAGAGGACTTATAATCCACCATTTTCTACATAAGGAAATGTCTGTACCAAGTAAGGAATATGAAGTTGTTTTCCATTCGTTTGATGTGTTTGTGCTTTTGATTTTGAATTTTGATAAGGGACTTTCCGTTTTGAATTTTCCTTGGAGTTCGGTAGTTTTGTTATTTTACTTTATACCACAAATTACATATACTTAGTTTAAAATTTACCTCAATAATGCAGATCTAAATATTTGGGGTAGCAGATTATTTGTTTTGTCTTCTGTTGGATTTCAACGCATGCTTCTCTGACATCATAGACAGCTCCTCCTACAGTTTGTCCAATACCAAAGACCACTAGGCATACTTTTTTATGCCAGTACATATTATGACTATCATTGATAAAAACACACATTAAAGCACAGTTAAAACACAATAAAAACAATTGATAGATTAACATTATAACAGTTTCTCTGTATAAAAGTATGCAAGATTGTTCAAAAGCAATTGTTTTCTCTTAAAGGAATAGAGATTAAAGGTAAAGAAAAGAAAAGACTGGATTTATTGGAAAAAGATGCGGTTAAAAGCTATTCAAATTCGTCAATTCGATTACGTAGATCTCGCGCTAAGACTATATCGAGTGATGATGGAAGGTATGCGATTGTATTTTTCGTACCATGTGTTATATACTTATTTGTTTCTTTTATCATTATCAACTCTAAAACAGAAGTAAAAGATACCAAATGGACATTCAAACTTATAAGTCGAAAAATAAACTGACAGTGCCATGTCAAAAAACGACAAAGGCGAAAAGACAGATAACAGCATGCAAAACAAAACCTAGAAAACTAAAGACCGAGCAACAATAAGCCCGCTATAAACCGGTGTGATCTTGTGTGCTCTACATGTTGCAAAATTCGTGTTGCTGATGTATGTATAAAGCAGGTGATAAGACTAATTCGGGAGGTCATATTCGAGGAAAAGAGGACGGGATTGTAGTTACACTTTTAACACCTGACCCCTCAGAAAGAGCAGACGTAACACCAAAGAAAAAAAAGTAAAGAACAACATATGCTCATGATAGCGTAAAGCCCACACAATTTAAGGGAGTTTGATCAGTCTTACAAGATCACAAGGCTCCCAATATACATTTACTGGTGAAATATAACCCACCGACGTACACAAGATGAGTACACCGGTACTTGCATTACAATACGGATGTTGTTTTATTGACATTTGCTATTATCAAACTTAAAATCATTTATAGTGAAGAAAAGCATCTTCCTCATGCATAGCTCTGGTGCTTTTTGGGGTTTGGATATACTTTTGGTCCTTTTCGGCTACTGGTTTCAGTTTATGGTAGGTTTGCCAAATCATTTCCTGGTTTAACCTTTGTTTCTTAAAAACATAACCGTTCTACTAAACTTATCAAACCTCCTCGAGTGGTTTGGACAGTATAACAAACCAATATCAAAACTTTTCATTTGTTTCATTACTGGTAATCAATCCGAAACCGGAAAATGAAACTACCGTGATTGCAACAATTGCGGCCCTAGTTTACAATTATTCTTATTTATAGCTTGGAAGACCGTTATAAACATGATGCAGAGCTTAGCTTACAAGAACAAGTTGAGGTAGTGACAGCTGATGTTGGACAGATTCATAATCAACTTAAAGAGATCACACAGAATATCAAAGATATAAAAGCATTTAAACAGAAAATTTTGCTAGTTGAACTTCCTCGGGGTGTACGAAGTGGAACACATATTCCAGATGAGGTGACCATGTTCGAATAGAATTCTTGAACAATTAAAAAATTGATTCTTACTTAAAACAATGTACGTAAAGTGAGATCACAAAAGGCGTAAACCGCTATATTTTTCATAGTGTGTCTAATTCAGTTGCGGTACGTATAACTGTGAATATGAATAGTATTTAGAATATGTGAAATTGAGGTCTATTTTTATGTTTGGATTGCTACTTAGTTTTGCTAAACTAATTAGGTTTTTGTATATGCAGGTTTGCAAATTGATGTCCCGAACTTCAACACAATTTCTTTTTAGTTTCCCTGGCAATTTGCATTGACATTGTTTACGATCAAATGATGATTATTTATACTATTGATTGATCAGAATATTAAATACTTTACAACATAATTTGACAATTTTGATGATTTTTATTTGTTGCGTAGTATTTTGACAAATTTCATGACAATAGTGGGATTCATGTCGTGTTGTTGATTATTTATTTATGTCCCTAAAAAGTGTAATTAAAACGTTATGTTTAATAATAATAAGATTTTATACGTCCTTGTAATAAGCATAAAGCAGTTTTTAAGGGGAAATAGTAGTCATTCATTTTCCTTGCATAAGGTTGACCTATTGTGTTCCTTATTCAGGTGAAGGAAGTCTTGAGTGCTGTGATTCAATGTATCAGTATAATAAACTAATACATTTATTCATAGATAACTACAGTGTGTTTAATTGCAATACATATTTTGAAACACCCAGATGTTTTTTTATTGATTCATCAAAAAGTCAACTGAAATTTTCATAAATTTGATGTAAAATTGTTTGCTAACATTGATAGAATAAACCAACTCAACAGGAAGATGTAGTTGACCCCTCCCCCCAAAAAAATTAAAATAAAATAAAATAATAAACCAAAAAGTACATTGACAACCACAGCTCCTTCGTCTAGATAGCAACCTATTTAATTAATTTACAGTCTTCCATAGCAATAGTTTGGGCATCATAAAAATGACTCACATAAGACGTTCTTAAAGTTCGGAATTTTGATAAAAATGCCACGTTCTAACGCAAACTGTTACATTTACTTCGCATATTCAGAGTGTGCAGCATCAACGTATAAACATCTGCCTTAGACTCTTTATTTATGCAAAAACACGCAGTCAGTAGCTTTAAATTTGCTTTTCCTAGCACTGTCTTCTCATACCATATGTTGACTTGACATTTGAAAAATACGGACAAGAAGTAAAATCCATGTACGTTTTCCGATAACGATATAGTTTCAGTTGTTTTATCTACGTTATTGTTTTCAATGAAGATGATGATGATGGATGGCTGGTTAAAGTCCAGCGTCAAATAAATATGTTTATTCAGGACGAGAGCATGTTAATGTTACAGGAACTTCTTAGGAAGAAAGATAAGAAGTTAGCAATATCCTTTAACTTTACGTTCCGCTATATAGATGATGTTCTCTCACTAAATAATACAAAATTTGAAGACTATGTTGAACGAATCTATCCCATCGAACCAAAGATAAAGGATACTACAGATACAGTTAAGTCTGCCTCATATCTTGAATTACATCTAGAAATTGACAATGAGAGTCGGTTGAAAACAAAACTTTACGACAAAAGAGATGATTTCAGCTTCCCAATTGTGAACTTTCCATTTCTATGTAGCAACATTTCAGCAGCGCCTGCATACGGAGTTTATATCTCTCAATTGATACGATATAACAAAGCTTGTATTTCCTATCATGATTTCCTTGATAGAGGATTGCTGCTCACAAGGAAGCTAATAAACCAAGAGTTCCAAATGGTGAAGTTGAAATCATCGCTTCGTAAATTTTACGGACGCCATCACGAGTTGGTTGACCGTTATGGAATAACCGTTTCACAGATGATATCGGATATGTTCCATATGTCGTAACTACAATACCCTTCCCTTTTCACGAATATGACCTATCGAAATATACTATTTACCGGATTTGTAATAACATAAATAACACGACGGGTGCCACATGTGGAGCAGGATCTGTTTTCCCTTCCGGACTCTTGAGATCACCCCCGGTTTTTGGTGGGGTTCGTGTTGCTTAGTCTTTAGTTTTCTATGTTGTGTCTTGTGTACTATTATTTGTCTGTTTGTCTTTTTATTTATTAGCCATGGCGTTGTCAGTTTTTTTTCAATCTATGAGTTTGACTGTCCCTCTGGTACCTTTCGCCCCTCTTTGATGTGAATATTAATCCTGCTTTGTACTAGACTGACACGCTGAGTCTGATTTATAACGTGTTAGGTCACAAAGTAACAGTCCACATAAAGACATGTCATCTTAACGGGACACATTATTCCGACTCCGAGCCGACCAAGCTTTGCTCTGACTCCGTAATGCCCTTATAGTTTTCAAGAAAGTACTTGGAATGAACGTTAGTAACTAGAGGCTGTCAGAGTGACAGCAAACCGGATTTTTTTATATTTATTTGTGTCCTGACATTTTTCAATACCACAAAGACCATAACTCCTAAACGGTATAAGTGACAATAATAAATATTGAACTTGACCTCAATTTTATCATCAGTAACAACATATTAAAATTCGAAAAGGTTTGGTTTAACGATCAATGAGTTAAAGCCCGGACAATACTGGAAACACCGTTTTTCAATATTTCAAGAACCATAACTCCTGAACAGTGAAAGTGAAAATCGTCAATATAAAATACAAAAACATATCATTTGGCAAGGATGAGATTTTGGCGAATCATTAGTCCTTCATGGCTTCAATGAACATTACATTCAACAGCAAATCGGAGGACTTACCCTGATTGTATTGGATACCTCAACTGAAAAAAAATCCGTACAAACAACGGTACATTGCAGGCTCATCTACATGTTCGACGAAATAATTGTCCATTAGATGGACAAAGATTCTGCTCGCAGTGTAAAGGGGTCTTCAGAGATACTGTGAAACTGTTTACCTGCTCGGCGGTATTGACCATATTTGGATTCTTAAAAACCCTAAAAAACTTCTTGATAATTTTAAATCTCGATCTTTCTCTGAAATAAGTTCTATCAAAACTTTAGAATTTTCAACTCTTTATACCACCATTCCCCATGTGAAATTGAAAAATCGTCTAAAAGGAATACTCCACAATGCTTTTCAACATAAAAAAGGTAGCATACGCTATAAATCTATTACTTTGGGATACCATACGGCATATTTTGTTAATAGTGAAAAAAAACGTAAAACATGCTACACAGTGGAACAAGTGATCAGTATGCTGAAGTTTCTTATTGACAATATATTTGTTGAATTTGGAGGTAGACTTTTTCAACAAATTATCGACATTCCTATGGGATCGAACTGTGCGCCTCTCCTTGCCGACCTCTTCTTATTAGCTCACCTGGCCCAAAGGGCCAAGTGAGCTTTTCTCATCACTTGGCGTCCGTCGTCCGTCGTCCGTCGTCCGTCGTCGTCGTCCGTCGTCCGTCGTCGTCGTCCGTCGTCCGTCGTCGTCGTCCGTCGTCGTTAACTTTTACAAAAATCTTCTCCTCTGAAACTACTTGGCCAAATTTAACCAAAGTTTGCCACAATCATCATTGGGGTATCTAGTTTAAAAAATGTGTCCGGTGACCAGGCCAACCAACCAAGATGGCCGCCATGGCTAAAAATAGAACATAGGGGTAAAATGTAGATTTTGGCTTATATCTCTGAAACCAAAGCATTTAGTGCAATCTGACATGGTGTAAAATTGTTTATCAGGTCAAGATCTATCTGCCCTGAAATTTTCAGATGAATCGGACAACTCGTTGTTGGGTTGCTACCCCTGAATTGGTAATTTTAAGGAAATTTTGGAGTTTTTGGTTATTATCTTGAATATTATTATAGATAGAGATAAACTGTAAACAGCA